TAGTAGAAAAATGATTTTTTTCTATTTCGTGGAAGTCGTCAAGAGTGCAAATCTAGAGCTCGTCGGATAATTCTCCAAGTGAACGCGCCAGAACAGCACGCCAGGGACGGGCGAGAAGGTAGGGCACAGCTATGGAGGATGCAAGACGAGGCAGCGAGGACACGGTGACGGAGAGAAAGCCGAAGAAGATACAGACGCGACGACAGAAGAACGCACAGGGAGATCAAGGATTAGAGCGACCTTCATCGGGACAAAAGGACAACCTCAGTGAAGGTCCTCCACCGCGCGTGCCAGCTGCGACTTCAATACACACCGCAAAGAAGCAGTCCAAGGTGAACGAGGAGATTGCAAAGACTACAATGGCCATTGCCACAAGCAGCCCTCCTACCGACTCGTTGGCGTCGACAGACCGTTCAAACGGCAACGGAATGGAGATCAAGCTACGAAACATACCCGCGCGCGCGAACGGCACAACACGGCAGCGAGACCAAATCCGGGCCCACCACAACGAGGTGCCTACTGCAGATTTCACCACTTCCGTGACGATCACAAAAGCCATCAAGCATGCCAGTGCTGTTGTACCTCCGGCGCCAAGTCCAGGAAAGATTTCAAGAGCGAATCATCCAAAACAGAAGAAACAAGACCAGATTGCGTCGTCTTCGCCGTCTTCAACGGACTCCGCGGGTACAACATCAGACTCAACGGTCCGTCAGGCTTCAACCCCGCCCACCATGTCCAAACCCAACAGACGAAAGGAATCGACGAGCCCATCGCCACCTGCGGTAGCGTCTTACGCACGACAAGGCAGGAGCACGGCTGATCCTTTGAGCGCGACGTCCTTGCGAATAATTCCCGGCAACGGCCAAGTGGTGACGAAGAACAATGCCCACTACGAACCCCATTTATTCTATGACGACGCGATGGCTGGTCTTCAAGACTGCTCCCTGCTCGCGGGCACACTCCGCGTGAACAAGCTAAACAAGCACGAAGCGTACGTGACGATTCCCGGTCTCGACCGCGATCTCTTCATCGATGGAGCCTCCCATCAGAACCGCGCCGTTGATGGAGACACGGTCGTGTTGCAGGTGCTTCCTCAAGCGAAATGGCGAATCAACAAGATGAGTCGAGTGACCGCTTCTTCCGGGCGTTCCTGCTCGTCGAATCCAGACCAATTCGTCGACGCCTTGGAAGCGCTGTGGAACCCAAAAGTTCGAGCGTCACCAGCTGCGAGCCATGAAGTCGATGTGGCCGCGTCGTCCGAGGGCGGTGTCAAGTTGCTGCAACACCATATCGATGCCGTGCAAGCACGCCTCGTTGGCTCGAAAGTCCAGCCCACCGCCAAAGTGGTCCACATCTTGGAACGCGTCGACGAAGCGTACGTCGGTGTAGTCCGTGTCGCCAAGGAGGCCGCATTGTTTGACGCGTTTGACGACCGGCTTCCTCGAGGGATTCGCATCCGAGCGTCTGAAATGCCAAAGGAATACCGTCGAAACCCGGAAACGTTTGCGGCGTCCATGCTGTGCTTGGTCAAGTTGCGCGACTGGGCAGTGGGGTACAAGTCTCCCACGGTACCATTTGCCGTGTTTAGGCGGATTGTGGAGGTTGCGGGAAGTGTTAACGTGACGTGGTTTAGGGGCAATTCGTCGAAGTGTTGGGCCAAGGCGCAAGCGTCGACTCGGACATTCTCTCGTTGCTCAAGACCAACTCGTTGTTACGCCACATGGAGCCCTTTTCGTCCGAAATTGTCGATTCCCTGCCGAGTGCCACGGACTGGCATATTCCTGACGAAGAACTCGCTCGACGACGAGACCTCCGCGACTGGACGATCTTTTCCATCGACCCGTCGACCGCCCGCGATCTCGACGACGCTATGTCGATCCGCGCTCTCGACAACGACACGTTTGAAATTGGCGTACACATTGCTGACGTGTCCCATTTCATTCAGCCAGGCAGTCCTTTGGACGTGGAAGCGCAGGCACGTTGTACGAGCGTGTACTTAGTCAACCAGGTCCTGCCGATGCTGCCTCGGGTGCTGTGCGAACACTTGTGCTCGCTGAACGCATCTGTCGATCGGCTCGCGTTCACCGTACGTTTGAATGTCCGTCACTGGATCGCTTGAATTGGGTGGGTGGCGACATTCCATGCACATTTGTGTATCGAATGGCCGTCAAACGCCTTGTCAATGTGCTATTGTGTGGACATGGCGCCTCCAGTTCTCAAGGGGAAAATCGGTAGGTGTTGTGGCACATGCACAAGGATGGATCGTTGGTGCGGGACGCGCCGATTTGGTTTGGGAAAACCATCATTCGGTCTTGCTGCCAACTGGATTATGGCACTGCCCAAACCATTTTGGACGAACGTATCGACGAGGCTGCGTGGCGGCGTGAGCCGACGGGTGGCCATTCCAAAACCACGATCGCCACATGTATCCGGCAACTTGGCGAGATTGCCCGTGCTCGTCGACGCCAGCGGTTTGCGACCGGCACGGTGCAACTGCATCAACCCAAGTTGAGTTTTGAGTTGGACGATAACGGGAACCCCGTCGCGATGACCGAGTACCCCATCCGCGAAAGCAACCATCTCGTGGAAGAGTACATGCTCCTGGCCAACTACTTGGTCGCGCAGCACTTGCTGCAGCATGGCCCGCCCGTCCTACTTCGAAATCACGCGGCCCCCGACCGTGAAAAATGGAGCAACGCCTTGGCCACACTCGAAAAGCTAAACGTGCATGTTGACCTCAGCACGCAACTCTTGACGCCGTTCCTGGAGCAGCTCGAACTGGAACGTGGGTCGATCGTGCTGCAGACTGTACGCCACATGTTGATCAAACCGATGGCGACGGCAGAGTATGTCGTCGTGGATGACGCCTTGGCCGAGCACCATCGGCATTTCGCGCTGAATGTGCCGTACTACACGCACTTCACATCCCCCATTCGACGGTATCAGTGCTTGGAAGCCTGTGGGATATTTTCGCGAATGGCATGTTGATTTTGATGGTGTAGGTATGCGGACGTCCTCGTCCATCGGTTGCTCGAAGCGTCGCTTACGACAGGATCGACGGCCGCCGTGTGTGTTGCCCGATCTGTCGTGACCCAATGCAATGTGCAAAAGGCGCGGTCGAAGAAAGCGCAGAAGCTCTGCGACCTCGTGTTCCTGACCAGATACGTCCAACACAAGGGCGAACTGGACACGACGGGCGTTGTCGTGGGGATCGGATCGAGGAGCTTTACCCTCGTGCTCATCGAGTTTGGCTTTGAACAGCGCTTGAACGCGCTAGACGTTGCAACCCGGTACCGTTTCAACGACGTCGAGCCAAGCCTCAAGTTGACATTGAAATCGGGGACAACAGTCACGCTCGAGATGTTCCAGCCCGTACAAGCCAGACTCACAACGACCAAGGCACTGCCTCTGAAGCTTGTCTACACCCTCGTTGCTCCATCGTCATCGTAGATCGAGCTGTAAACGCCGTTTTTGCGTCTCGTCGGCCTGGTTGATGACTGCGAGAGGTCTCTGTCTGCCCAACGTGTTCAAGGTTTCGCACCTCGGACACGTCGCCGTTCGCAGAGTAACGTTATGGCAATGTCGTGGCATTAGTACTCGAATTCGCACGTCAAGTGTGCATTTGTCTAGCGGTAGCAGTGGCTAAACACCCACGGGGTGCGATGTGCTGCACGACGGTGCAAAGCAATTGCGCCGGAAAAGGTGGTAGTGGTCGCGGTGTACGGTTGAGGATCGACCTGTGTTCGTGAGGGGTCGCGGGCGTATCACAGGAGTCAGTTCACCCACTCATGACGTCGGATGTGCCCAGGGACACATTCAGCCGAGTTCTTCGTTTGGGTGGCCGCAACCTTGCCAGCACGTTGCTCGCGTTTCTGCGTGACGTGGAGCATCATGTGTTTCCGCAGTCTCCGCGTTGCTCGGCCGATTTTCGTCACCTGTCCGCAAGTGACAGTTTCGGTCATTTTAGCTCAGGGATATCGCACCACATCAACCAATTGCACTGTGACTCTCCATGCAATTGATCGAGGTCAGGTTGGTTCTGGGATGTCGCAACGGTCAAAATATCCACACTCGCGGTCGAGGTCATGTACAACTGCTTACGTGCTTCCTGGACGGTGCACCGGATCGTTCAAAATAACGTACCCAGGACATTTCTGTTGCGAGGGAATTTCTCATGGGTCCAGGAACAATATTTTGACCGATATCCTGACCTATAGACAGAGGAATGGATGTTTGAACTTGATTCAATGCAGGCCAATAAACGAATGCATGATGCTTCATCGTGCAATATCTTATCCCTTGCATTAATTTGAACGATCTGGTGCTACGGGTCGACATAGTAACACGCGGAGCGATCAGCATGCATGTTGCTTGCGCCGCTGTCACGAGCGAAGTGGATCTACGGGCATCGCAACGTGCTCACGACCAGCCCTACTAATCCTCTTCTGCTCCTCAGTGTGCGATGGAATTCCTGATGTAGAGGGGGGGCAAACCAGAACGAAGGATGCTGCGGAATGCGCCCTTGTCTGGCGTCCTGGCTCCCGACCGTGTCCCTGGTCCACACTCGAGCAACGTTAAGACAGACCATTGACGCAATGCGACAACGAGATGAGTTGTCCGAAGGGGAGGCACGGTCAACTGTACATACCAGAGTAATATACCGTGGCACGTCAGCAGCCAGAACGACACGATTTCCAACGCGAGGCGACCGGGCAACGTTGCGCTCGATCACGTTCCCGGGTACGTGGGATGCCCCCCCGTTTGTTGGCCAAACTGACACGTCTACTTTAGTCTTGCTTCTTGCGTGGGCGACAAAGGGGGCACGGGAGGTGGACGACCCGACTCCGACGGCAGAGCAAGCCCGTGCTACTGCGATTACGATGTCGCCACACCATCTCGACTTTCCATCAAGTGCCTGCCGCAGCCGACTGTGCACTTCAACAAGATATGGATGGATGGGTCGCGCATTGCGAGTTGTGGAGCACGACGCAACCCACGCATACTGCACCCGATTCTCGGACAGGCTACCGAGTTCATGCTCACATACAGATCTAGCTGACCATGACAGCATGCAGCGCCTCTTTCTCTCAGCCACACGATCGATTGGTGCCACTGAAAATCTGTCCATGCCTTCCTTTCTAGACCTGAATTTCGTTCCTATCGCTCTCGTCGTCGACGCGACTGATAAAACGACATGGAACCATCTACCACACCCGGCCGAGATATGTGTTTGCAAAAGTGTTTCAAAGACAAATACGTTGTTGTTACATGACGTCCCCACGCCCATCGTGATGGTAATGGGTTGTCGAGTGCAGCGACGCGCTTCCTGCCGCGACGCCCGGCCATCGCTGGAGGCCGTGGAATCGCATCCTTCGGCTTTCTGCGCAGCTTTCTCGTTTCTTGGCCTGGAGGTGTCGAAGTTGCGCTTGGAGCGTCTCAACTTGGAGGCGAAGGCGCTGTCGCTCAATCTTTTCCCGTTGCCGGACGCCACGTTGGCGCACACGGTTGTACATGAGTTTGACTGCTGAGCTCTTTTGGTGTCGCGTGGGGGACGACGACGTCGTCGTCGGCGATTGCTGTGGACTCGTCAGGCGCAGCTTGTCCATGCATAGGTCGGTGGTAGAGGGCGACTCGCCGGACGAGGCGGCCTTGTCTGCACTCGACGCAGCGTTTGCGTCGGTGTCGGCGGCATGGTGGTCGTGGAGAATGTAGCTGAGTTGGGCTTTCGGGTGCATGATCGATGGCACGTTGAAAAATGACACAGCGAACAACAGATCCGACAACAACTGGGCCAACCACCTCTTGCATCGAAAGTACTTGACGAACACCACTGACTCTGAGGAAATCCTTCTCATCGAACTACATGGCGGATACATGGCACAGCGCATACCTGGGGGCAACGACCGCGTGTCCAACGCGCCGACTCGCCGTTTGCATACAACACACCGACCGCTGCATGCAAAGCACGCACCACGCGCCCGTCGCGTGGGTTGTCGCCGTTGGGAGTGAGGTTCGACGCGGGACTGCTGTGCACCCCACGTCGCAATGTGGTCCAAGTGTATACAGTATGGTCTGGGATTCCACGACGTGTGCACGTTGAAGCTTCGATTCGAGGACGTACACTCCGACATCGACCATCACTCCAACCGTCGTTGTCTCGACCACACCCTACGCAGACGGATTTCCACATATTCCAAGATGTTGGTATCATGGGCATGTCGCAATGGTGACAGTTCGGCCAAGGGTAACGCATCCACCGCCCGACGCGTGACGCAGGGCGCGACCAAGCGGCGGCATGGTGCACACATGGATGGTGGAGATTCGTGCAAAGCCATTACGCACGGAAGCCAGCGACGGCTTGGAGCATCATCGTCAACTGTGATCGGCGAGACAACTCTCGAACCATTTTCCGGCTTGTCTACGCGCTGCGCCATGCACGCCACCCACCCCCGCCACGGCTTGGTTTCGGTACAAAGAGGCAGCGTGCATCTTGGTCCAACGTTTACTGGAAAACGTACAAGCACATGACGTTGGGTATGACGTACGCTTGCTCCATGATGTGGGCGCGCAACAGTGTCCACATGCAATACCGTAGCTTGGTAGATAGGTGCAGAAGAGGAACCACGTCTGGGCACGTTGCTGTGGAAGTCGGATGTACGTGCAAACGTGCCTGGCGCCACCCAGCGCACCTCTTTTCTCGACCGCGGGCAGCCTCTGCGGCAAGCCTACTGTCCAAGAGGATGCAAATATGAAAAGGTCCACCATGTCGACGACAGGTCATTCCGCATCCCACAAGGGCCGACTCGACACCTCTACTTTCAACTTTGGCGCCAACCCAGAACTTTCACAGCCTGCCTGTGTCCGTCGGCCAAGTATCGGACGTTGGTAGGTTTTCGCATCATGTCTGGACTGCAAATCGAGCGAGCTGCTCACCCCTTGGCCCAAGACAACCCACTTGGAACGATGAGTTGGACGCTTCATGCAGGTATTCTCGTTGGTGCACTTCAAGAAGCTCGCGCCACTTGTCGCAACTCTCTGGGATCGTCTTCGCTAGGCCAGCGAGCGCGTCACTGGCCCTGGCAGCCGTCGTTCATCGGGGCGACGACGGTCCTTAGGCATACATGGTCAGGGGGCGTTTTCAGCTATTACATTACAGGCAGGTCGACCTTTTCGCCGGCCCAGAAACTCGCATACATGTTGACTCGATCGATGAACAAGTTGTCGCCGTCGCGGATCTGGCACGGGTACACCCGAAAGCCACACTTTTCAAACAGGGTGTTGTACCACGGGTACTTGCCGGCAGACCGCCAGTAGGCGCGGCCCCCGAGCTTCATCTTTTGCGCCACGGCGCGGATCTCAGCTTCCGCATCTTCCTCCGAGAACCAGTCGAGATGGTCCATCAGGATGACGCGGGTCAGGTCGTCGTCAGGGATTTCGCGGTGGAGGACCTCGACGATTGTGGCGGTGTGAATTTTGATCGCATCGAGGCGGGTTGGGTCGGCCTGCAGCACGTTGAAACCCTCTTGTTTCAAGTACGACGGCGCGTTCAGCTGGCTGTAACAGCACATGAGGCACGAGTAGTAGAAGTAGTTGTCTGTGCGGAGGAGCGAGTGGCGCATGACCGGATCGATGGTGTTTTCCACATAGCTTTGGGCGGATCCTTCTTCCAGCAGCATTTGCATCTGGGCAGGCGGGACGCCGAGGGCGCCCCACAAAAAGTGATCGTTGTTTAGGAGCGCGATCAGCCATCGGCTCAAAATGTGCGGACGCAGCTCCGTTGTCCAGACCTGCCACTGTGTTTCCAAATCCTTGGCTTCGCATAGCGCGCGGACTTGTTTCTTGAGGCCCCGGGCAGCCACCACGAATTTGAACACGCGGACGGCGAGACCGGAGCACCCGGTCTCAAACAGGTTGGAAAAGGTCGCGTTTTGCTTCCAGAAATGGTACGCATGCGGCGACAGGAACGGACTCAAGTGGGTGTCGAGGAGGTGGTTGAATCCGGCGATGTAACCCTTCCCAAACAGCTTCCAGAAGTCGTTATAAGCCATCGACGCCAGCCCGGCCAACTTCAGCTCGAGCATGTTGTTCTGGCACGGGTTCAAGTCGACGCAATGGATGCGGGCAGGGCCGACTCGGCACGCGTACTCGAGTGCGTTGCATCCGCCAGACGTGATGACCATCATGCGATCGTCGCGCGTCAAGTTCAAGAATTCCAAGTCCACGCGCGGGTCTTCCCACGCAAAGCAGTAAATATACGTGTTGAAGCGCGGGATGAGCTTGACATCGAACGGTTGGCGCCACTTTTGGCCACTGCCGTGCACGTGCTTGTACGTCACGATGCCTTCGACAGCCATCACTTCAGCGTCTTCGCTCGCGCCGTCCGAGTTGCTCGCGTTCGATTCTGTCTCGACGCGGTCTTGGCCAGCGTCGTCAAGGCCAAATGCCGTCGACGGCACGACCTCGTTCTTCTGCGCGCCGAGCCAAACGTAGTATGGGATCTGCACGATGGGACGAATAAAGTGGTTGCGGCCGTTCAGCGCCTTGATCGTGTTGAAGCGGTACTCGAGGTATTCGCGGCGAGACGGGTGCAAGTAAATATTGTCCAAGTCGAACCAGATCTGCCAGAACCAACGCATGATCCAGCTCAACTGGCGCGTCGAGTCGGCGGATCGTTTCGGCGACACGTAAAAGTCACACACGCCGAGGATTCCGGTCGGGCACAAGATGTTGGTGAGCGAGTCCACCATCCCGTAGAACGATTCCATCATGCTCAACGAGTAGCTGAGCGTGATGAGCGCGATCTCGATGTCCTGGCCGTCTTCCTCTGGCACGGTAAACTTGGTCGCATCCATGCACAACACGGTCACGTTGTCCCAGCCCAAGCGCTCGAACCGCAGGCGCGCGACTTCGCACAGCGACGGAGTGATGTCCACCAAGTAGACCTTGTCAAAGTTGGCAATCGGAAAGAACTGGTTCATGCGCTCAATGTTTTCACCGGTGCCGCCGCCAATGTCAATCCAGGCGAACCGGCGGTTCGCGCCACGAGGGTGCCGCGGGGACAGAGGAGCCATCACTTCGCCTTCCGAGTCGCTGGACATGGTGGGTTGACGTAGAGGATAGAATTGAGCCAGCTGCGCCGCGCATAACTTGAGCATGGTCGACCGACCGCGGAGGAGGCGGCGACGCGTGACGTCGTAAATATCTGCTTGAGATTCATAGAAATGTTCGAGGCGTGCTTGGTGGTCATCCGAGTCGACACCGTTGGCCTGGTTGGCGTGTAAGAACGGGCGAATGAAGCAGTTCCAGGCAAACAAGAGGAATGGTCGGCCAGAAGTAGCAAAGAACGCCGTGATTGCAAAGACCAGGGTCAGCCCCACGACTTGAATTGCCATCGGGAGCAGCGTGAAGAACGAAAACGGCGCAAGGACAGCGTTCGTGGTCGGGAACGATTTTGGGATCCAGTCGAAGATGGCGAGGACCGCGACGGCTGCCGCCGCCGCGAAGTAGTAGCGCTTGTACGAGTAACAGCTTCGCGAGGCGCGGGCCTTGGCGCCGAGGGACCCGCCGGTCTTGACGGAGATACCAGCTTTGTGGGCGCTCGGAATATGGTTGGCTCGGGGAGTAGTTTTCACAGCCATCGCGCAAGTTCACGACTGAGTACCGACCCGACCAACTGGCCTGGATTCGAAAAACCTCACACGCGGCGAATCTTGGCAGTCAAGTGGAATCTCGGTCACTGCGTTTTTGTATGGAGGACGGATCACATAACGTTGAAGTCTGCAAGGGAGGCCACCATACAAAAATGAAGGTAAGTGCCCCGACCATCGGATATCCGGATAAGCAAAGTCACCCCTCCTGAGTCCCCAGATCGGGTTTTAGAGGTTTGCCTGTAAAAATCGATACCTCCTCAGCCAACCTGACGCCACGAGCACCAACCGACCAATCAAAACGCAGGGGAATCTCGGGGAGATATCCCTCCACAAGATCGTCACCCTTCCTATTTTGCATCCCAAATTCGCAGGGCTCGCTCGCCGAACTCGGCAGCACCAACATGGCGCGTAAGGAAGCAGTTGTGCTGCGACGAGGAGCCTTGGATAGAGTGCCCCGTAGAGCTGGATGGCTTGAAATGGGGAAACCTGTCCACTGTATTCGGTGCAGGATGGTCAGGTACGACATTTGACATGTGTGAATATCGCAACCATCAGGCTGGTCGACCAAAGCAGAACCCGAGACTGCTCTAGCACGAACCAAAACGTTGGCGCGCCTTGGTCTCGTGTAATAGCAAGCTCGCAGACGATCGATTCCTGCTTGAGCGCCACGTCCTCGACGCGATCCCCCAAGGATTGTCGATCATATATGCGATGGGATCGTGCAAAGTTGATATCGTGCCAGGTCTGAAATAGCACGTTTCGTCGCAACGCGATGTCGAAAGCATACTGTCAATGAGGTCGCGGTGTCTGCGTGATCGGTGACGATGACTAGTGCAGGGATATCGACGGATTTCGCTGACCCCACCGTCCTAAACGGTACTGGCAACGTGCAAAAGCAGGACAACGGCTGTCCAGCGTTTGCATGTGCGTATTCAGTCTGTAGCGCGATCCCATACAAAAACCACGACGCCGCAGGACATTGCGTACCCATCGAATCTCACCCGTGCGCGATGTTGCGCTGTGAATCTTGTTTTTTGAGCCCTCTCTTCAAACAGCACATCACGGCAACGATATCGACACTTTGACTTCCTCCAACGTCAACTCGACATCGTTCAGATGGATCGCACGCCCCCTTCCAAGTGTCGCGCATCCTCTAGGAGTCCCTTGTCCTTGTTGTAAAAATAGCAGGCGTCGGTGATCGCAACCATGGTATCCCTTCCCCAACTACTCAGCGCAGCAAGAACCAAAGGATTCGTCCGTGACAATGGGATCCCAGCAACGAGACCATGCCCACGGCCCTTCTTCACGCCCGCGCACTGGATGTCGAAGGAATCTTTGCACGACGCTCAAGTGAATGCCCCGTGACGTGGGGTCGTTGTCCTCGGCAAGCCAGCAACCACTGGCATTGCTCTCCTCAGTTTGCAAGATCTCTCGTGCGTGGTGAAGTCTCTAGTGCGCACCCTGGAAGGAGCGGTGCGAGGACGTGCACGCACAGACATTGACTCGGCATGCTCTCGACGCGCCTACGACGTACGACATCAACTGGGGCATATGAATTTGGCCAAAAGCTGGTTAATATGAACGAATTCACGTCCATGTGGTAGAATCATGCCTGAAATTGTCCAGAAAAAGTTGGTCATAAACATCGTTACACATTCTCGTACCTGGCGTGGTGCCCAAGGCAAGACGGACCGACCGACCGCACGACGCTGCTTTCATGCGAGACTTTGTGTGCGGAGGCGACCGGTCGATCATTCGATTTGTGTGTTTTCATGCGGCAACGTTCGTGTGCTCCCTGTGGCAGCATGCCGTCATGCTTGTGATGGCTGCGCTGTTCATCCTGCGGCTGTTGTGCTACCCCCAGCGTCGCCATCGCGACGGCCACTTGCACAATGTCAAGACCACGATGCATACCTTTTGCTCCAAGCACGTGCTCACAGATATGAAGATTCGCAACGCGTACAACTTGAAAGCGGCTGTGGTTCTCAAGAACTTGTCTGTGGCCGCGCTGAACGCCCGTCCGGTCGCCATGACCCTATACTTCTTGACATGGAAACCGATTTTACTCACGCTGTACGTTGTGCCGATCGTTGTCTTCTGCAGGGAATTCCCACAAGTAAACAACACCGCAATTCTTGCTGGCGTTGCAGTCGGGTGGGTCGTCGTGCTGGTTGCCATGGCCTACGTGCACGACTGGGTCTGCCACGTCGCGTTGGTCCCGCTCTTTCATCACGTTGAGACCGATGCGAATGCCCATGCCAACCATGACGTGCTGTTGTACCCGGGGCCCACTGCAAACCCCTCGACCAGCTACACACGACTCGCGTCGGCCACGGATGGGGTCGATCACAACCTGTACTGCATCCCCGTGCCCCCGCCACCGTTCGTCGCAAGCTGCAATGACTTATCACATCTTCAAAGCATACAAGCGTCCTTGACGTACGTGTCAAGAGAGAGCTCCAACGACAGTGTGACGAAGAAACCTCCTCGCCATTCGGCAACGCACCCGCGTGATTCCAGCGACAGCTTGCCGACGCGCCTCATGCCAGCGCCGCTGACGACGCCGACAGACGTGGACGCCCAGAATACGTCTGCACGGTCGACGAGTCGTTGCAGCTTCGACACTCCATCGTCATCGTACGCCTTGTTGCCGAGGGATCGACCTCAAAACAGCACCACGCCCGAAACCAAAGTGAGTGGTGAGGTGGGGAGTAGAGTTCCGGCCACCGCCTCTGCCGACGACGACCGTGACCTCGACAGCATCGCGCCACACGAAATGCGCAGGAAAATGAAAGTGCCAACCAACGTCATGCTCGAATACGATTCGTTTGATTTTGACCAAGACGGAAGGGAGCAAACGCCGCCAGCGGCAGCAAGCGTCTACCGCAGTGCACCCGACACGACTTTGTCGGCGTCGCTGTGGACATCCCCGACCAACTATGCGAGCGTCGCGTCCGATGTCGTCGCGCCCGCCTACGGCCACCTTTCCCCCACGTCGACGGCACCGCTGCATCCGACACCTTGGCCATTCGACCCTCTCACGCAAGTCTTTCGCACCGTCGCCGACCCTTCTGCGCCGTCCAAACAGGACTCGGTGCACTTGTTGGCTTACGCGCCACCCTCGGTGTCCGTCCACTCGACGTTTCCGTTTGCAATCTGGGCATTTCTCGTCCACCAGCGCCAAGACATGCACGAGCGAGCGACGTCGGAAGACGTCGGGAGCCGCCAGTTGTCGCGCGAAGTGCTCATGTCGTTGCGGCGCGGGGCCATCGCCCATGTCCACCTCGAAGTACCTGCTGAATTCATCGTCGAGGATGGCCCGATCAAGGCGTTCACTTGGACGGGCGACGTGACAAGCGTCAAGTACAATGTCCGCTGCATCGAGCATCGGCATGCGCAGGTTCTGTTCAAGGCCACAGTCGTTGTCGGTGCCAATGTCATGGTACTCCGCTCGTACGTGTTTGTGACCGCGGCGCACGTGGACGTAGCAAGCAACGCCATGATGGAAGAGCTCACGTGCGAGCTGGAACTGCTGCCGAAAACATTTGAAGAGATCCCGTACGACTTGCTCGATTTTAAGGAGCTCGTCGGGGAGGGCCACTTTGGCGACGCCTACCGCGCCGAATACAACGGCAAGAATGTTGTGGTGAAGACGCTGAAGGCGCAGGACCACCTCGGTGGCTCGACGGACCATGTGATTCAAGAATTTCGACACGAAGCCGCCGTCCTCAACATGTTTGGCCACCACCCAAACATCGTGCCGTTTGTCGGCGCGTCCACGGATCCGTCCCGCCCGCTGACGCTCGTGACTGCGTTTTTGCCGCAGGGAAGTTTGGAACGCCACCTGTCGACGACGCCATTGAGCGTGCATCAAAAGGAAATCCTCCTCGGCGACGCCTCGGCGGGCGTGCTCAACATCCACGAAGGCGGGTTCGTCCATCGTGACATTGCCGCGCGGAATTGCCTCGTCGACGATGCGTTCCGTATCAAGATTTGCGATTTTGGCCTGTGTCGGCGCGTGAATGCAGTCGTGGGCGGGTCGTACGTCGCAAGCGGAGTTGGCCCGCTCAAGTACATGGCCCCAGAGTCTCTCGTCCCGCCGCACACGTTCTCATACGGGTCGGATGTGTTTTCGTTTGGCGTGCTCATGTGGGAAACGTTCGCCGAAACCGGCCCGTTTGCAGACTTGTCTGGCGCAGCCGCAGCGGCGTATGTGTTGGAAGGCGGTCGTTTGGATCTTCATCTACCGTCTTCGCATGGCGGTCGTAGCGTTATCCCTGACAAGTACCACGCGCTGATGGCGTCCTGTTTCGCGGAAGACCCGTCGAAACGTCCGACCATGTCCGAAGTGCATCGGTTCCTGAGATGAAGGGCATTCGGCGCTCGTTTGCAGGATGACGCCGTACCCCCTCTCTGCGATCTAGTCGCTAGGGTGTTTGAAAGCATTATTTATACCTCTCACACTGCTTGCACGTGTTCTGGCACCCGGGTGTCGACCGGCAGGCACCACATGCTGGACATCGAACGTTCTCAAGGCCAGAGTTCATCACTAGAGAATATCACGCCAAGGACACCAGGTAAACGTCGCTTGCAGGCGAAATGTATCCACGCCAGAAGCGCATCACCAGAGTACCTCACGCCGAGCACGCCCGGCAGACACCGGCCTCCGTCGCACGGTCGCCGCCGCCACAATCAATCGTACACATGATTGAGAATGAACGTCTTCGAATGTACGTCCTTCGGCATGGAATTTCCAAACCAGAAATATAACACTGGTATTGACTATGTAATATTTTAAAACAGCGAATACACAGGGTATGAGTTTGTTGACCGACTGACGACAAGAATGGCTTGGCTGCACGCGCCGAGGTCGGCAGCGCCGTCTGCGCCGCCGCCGATGTTCCGTCTGGCATGCTACATTCTCCTCACACTTTGCTTCTGTGCTACACTTGTGCTGCATTTCATCGCGTCGGTCCTGATCGGGACGTGGGCGTTGGTGATTTGGGTCCACGCGTGGATACAACGAACGGGAGACTTCCACGACCGCGTCCAGGGTCTCGTATCCATCTACCGAAGGTCGTGGCTGGCGCTGTACAAGTTTGACGCATATGACTTATGCTGGTACGATCGGCGACTTGTCCACGAGTTGCACGTCCCACGCGACGAAGACGAAGTCGCCAACCCATGGCCGCAACTCGGGTACTTGTATCTGTGGCGCGGCCTCGTGGGTTCGTGCACGGCCATCGTGCCGACGGCGTTTTGGGCCATATCGGTGTTCTACTTTGTGGAATTCTTCAATACCCCCTCGACAACCACAGACAGCATGGACCCCGTCATGGTGGACTCGACAACGTTGACGCCGCCTTGGGTGTACTTGCTCCATGGTTGCGCGTACATTTCGCTTGGCATTGCATGTGCAAACGCGCTCATTCCGTGGTGCATTCGGTGGTGCGTCCAGAGCAACGTGCTCCTGTTTCCGTCGGTCAATTACAACTTGCATTACGACCAAGCCGCGCCGCTCGTGGAGAAAGCCCATCGACGTTCGTCTCGAACAAGTTCGTCCATGCATTCCGCCGTTTGTCTGAGTCGGTCTCTTTTGTAGACTCTGCCACATCCACGACACTGCGATCTTTCCTCGACACGGTGAACGGACTCGAGCCCGTCGTCGCCGTTGAACTCAAGAATGGTCATGAGCACGCGATAGCACGTGAAGTCACCTTGCAATGTTTGGCGCTCATCGACGAGCTCTTGGAGCTTTTTCATGAGCATGTTTCGCCACCCGCTTGGCCGTCCACTCTGTTGGATTGGATCGAATCGACGCTGACAAATTTGCGTGGCACCTTCACGAAACTTGATGACCCCCAACTGACCGCGCTACAGAATCGGGTACGCGCAACCCTGGCACGGCTGAGAACGAGCGAATGCGCCCCGTCCCCCTCTGCTACGGCAGTGCTTCACGGGGCGATGCCGGCAACGCACCTCGTGGACGAGCCGTATGAAAGTGCAGTCAGTGCTGCATGTGTACCATGTCCTCAACAGGCTGCGGCGCGTCATCCAGACGACAGTGTCGATGCTGAATGCATCCAACACGATTGCGAGGACAGCCTCGTCGATCTTGGCGACCTCAACGTCATGCACGACATGCCGACACGACAAAAGCGACCGACTGCGTTGACCCAGCTCGATCCTGACACGGAATACCACGAACTGTCGCCCACGGCCGCCGGAGGAAGCGCCCCTGCCATGTACGGCGACCTGTCGCCACGCGCGTCGCCATCCATCGAGTCTGTCCACGGCGTGTTTCGATCCATCGGGGCGGCCCACCCGACCGACCACGATCAGGTGGCGCATTTGGACGCAGTGCACTTTCAGGCGTACGCGCCGCCGATAGTTGCCGCCATGTCGACGTTTGAGTTTGCCATTTGGGCCTTCTTGGTGCACCAACGCGACGACGTTCGGGAGCATGCCGTGACGAGTGCGCTGTCGCGGGAAGTGCTGCTGCCGGTGCGTCGCGGCGCACTTGTCCACGTGACACTCCAAGTACCGGATGGATTCGTCCTGGTCGACGAGCCGACGAAAGCGTTGGATTGGCAGGGCGATATCACAAACGTCCAGTACCAAGTGCGGTGCCCTTCCAGTGCCACGGCCGGCCAAGCCATGTTTCAAGCTACGATTGTCGTCGGCGCCAAAGTGATGATGCTCCGGGCATACTTGTTTGTATCGGCGACCCGCATGAACGACGACGATGACGACGTGGTGGCTGCCCTCTCGTGCGAGTTGGAGCCACTGGAAGCGTCGTTCCACGAGATATCGTTTGACGAGCTGGCCCTCCACGACGGGGCACTTGTAGGGTCTGGGCACTATGGCGACGCCGTCCGCGCAACTTATCGCGGAAAAGAGGTCCGTATCTCCTCCATCGTCCGAACGCCCTAACACGTCGACAGGTTGTAGTCAAAACGCTTCGCTGGGACGCGGTGGACGGCCCGTCGGCGGACGTTGTCGAGAGCTTCCGGCACGAAGCGGCCGTCCTCAACATGTTTGGCCACCACCCCAATATCGTGCCGTTTGTCGGGGCAGCCACGGACGAGTCCAAGCCGCTGGCCCTCGTCACCGAGTACTTGCCGTACGGAAGCATTGCCGACACCTTTGCCAAGTCGTCGTTGTCCGTGGCGCAGAAGGAAACGATTTTGTACGACGCTGCAGCCGGGCTCTTGAATGTTCACGAAGGCGGGTTTGTCCATCGCGACGTTGCAGCGCGAAATGTGCTGATCGACCCGCGAGGTCGGGGCAAGCTGTGTGACTTTGGGCTGTGTCGGCGTGTCGATGCCGCCATGGGGGGGTCGCATTTCGAACGAGGCGAGTTCCCGCTGCGGTACATGGCCCCAGAATCGCTCCAACCGCCCCACGCGTTTTCGTACCAGTCGGACGCGTACATGTTTGGCGTGCTAATGTGGGAGACGTTTACGGAGCAAACGCCGTTCGCGTCGCTGGCACCGCGCGAAGCCGCGGCCCTCGTCCTCGAAGGCCATCGACTCGAGTGCAACAAGGATGTGGCTGTCATCCCGCTCAAGTACCAGCGCCTCATAGAAGGATGCTTTGCAGACGACCCGTCCAAGCGCGTGTCGATGGTCGACTTGGTCCATGCACTCGGTCGGTTTAATGTCGTGTAATAAGTTAATGACGTGTGCCGTGTACAAGGGAGCATTTGGGTTGATTGGAGGAGGGAGCTAGGGTTGAGCAGTGCACGTGCCAAAACACCCCAGCCACGAAAACGCCACAGCGCCGAGCTAGGTTGTGTTGGGGAGCGTTTTCCACAGCCCTTTTGTCGAGAATGACTCGAAGAGGTGACTGCAATCGAACAGAGAGGGGCACGTCGTTCGAATAAGGGTGCTATCGGAGTCCTTGGTCGAGGTCGCCGGGACGAAGGTTGTCGTAGTTGTGCCGACCACCACCGCCACGCTGGCGCAGGGACACCATCCAAGGCAGTTGTTCCAGTGGCTTCTCGACGTCATCGCGGCATGACAACGTCACGGCAGCAGCGTGAAACACACGATCAGGGCCAGGACATCACCACTTGGATAGCGTGCCAACATGGTGCTCGCCCACCCAAATCGCGCGACGGTGGCAGGTCTGCGGGTGACCATCCCATCCACTTGGCACAGTCATCGTGCCGTTCATCTCCTAGCCCATCCATCCATCCATCGCGTCGAGAAGTCCGAGAGCCTTTCGTTGCCGCAGCCACTTGATCGACACAAATCTGTGTTTCAAGTCGTTTAACCGACGTGGGCGGGCCCGTGCAGCATCCAGCCACGTGAGCGTCGACAAAGACAAATGTGGACGGTAGGTCAAGGCTAAGGACCGCACACCCCCGTGAAGCCCAAGTGGACGCCCTTGGAAAAATCGTGGATGACCAATTCGTACCCCGATATTCCCATCGCGATCGCCGACGCCGCGATCGTGAACGCAAGGACGTACACGAGAATCGAGCTGCGCTTGTACTTTTTCACGACGATGCCGACGCACTAGCCACCGTCCTTCAGCCACCCACGTGACCAAAGACATCCCTTACATTCTGCCCAAAGTATGCCCCCAGGAACCCCATGAGTGCGTACCACGCGATGTAATCTAGCCATGGCCTCAGACTTGTTTCGATTGCACCAGCGTCGTACCATACTGCAGTTGGCCAGGGAACTGGCCCGCCACAGCAAACTGGAGAGTCGTTGCGGACGACGTGAACAGAATCATGAACGAAGCGGACGCGGACGAAATGGCCGGGAGGAGCCCGTATTCGAGCATGACTGGGTTCTGGACCATCCCGCCTACTCACGGCCGTGATCCTCGAGTGGGGGGGGGCTGATGTAATTACCTCCAATGCCAAGCAAGCCGGACGCCACCCCCGCGACAACGCAGGACATTGGGAAGACCACATGCGCCGTCTTTTTGGTCCAATGCACGTCGCCAACAGCAAAGTCGGCACCCGTGAGCACGCGAAGTTGGTTGCGAACGCGCAATCGTCGGCCCATCCACCTAGATCCATGCGTTTGTCCACTGCACATGGCCCGACTATGTACCAAGTGATGCAGGCGAGTCCAAGCAGCGGTACAATCGTCCAGAGCCAGTACGAGGTCGACCCGCAACGAACTCCGACTAGAATCCATTCCAGTGGAGAGTTGTTCGGAATGCATGGTGGGCGATGGCTTACCGATGCTGGGGGTCCCGTGGCCGCCGCGAAACAACGATTGCACGAAGATGATGAGCTAGTAAGCCACGTTCAGCGTTTGCATGTTCCTCAATGAGACACAGCTGTGCACGGCTCTTGCCCGTGGCGTACCCAGCACACAACGAGGGGCAGGACATACGACCACGGAAATACCCGGCTTTCCTCGAGTTCCAGGTGTGCTTGAATCTGTCGATAGTACGCTGCTTTGTCTACACACATCGCACCGTCAGGTCACAAGGGTGCAGTAAAGAGCGCACCCATGTCGGCTGGCACGACGACTGGCGGGAGAGTTTCAAAATCTTCAAAGTCCAAGCGTTGGATGCGCGCGAGTTTCTACAAGATGCACGCCACTGCTCTCTCACGCGGGCCACAAGTCATGGGTGGCGCACCGCAATGCCCGCGGGATCTTGCACGGACGCAGGAAGCAACCCAACGATTTCTCCCTGACTCTTGGCCTCCTGCTCGTCGATCTACGGCGCAAGCATCCACAAATTAGTCGTGTTTGCCGTGGGGAAAGTAAATGCGTGGCAGCCCCACCTTTTGCACTTTTTGTAGGGTGCGCACCGCCATGAACGAGAGCAGCACGAGTAGGAGCAGCAGGATGAGCCACGACGGAAACGTTGTATTGCCCATGACGCCGAAAATCGTGCCGATCAGCGTCGGAGGTTCCATCATGGCCGACAGCGTGTAGTCGATAAGCGGGCGGTGGCTGCGGTCTACAGCTCTTTCCCGTCACGTCCATCCAAGTCAGAGGGCACGTGGTACGGCGCCACGATGGCTGCGACAGCCAACCTACATGGATGTTTCTTGAACAAGTTGACCGAGAGCGTGGCAACGGCGCCGCCAAAGATCGTGGCCTTGGACATGGGCACTGCATGCTTGGGCCCAAGCCCAAATGCCAAAATGAACATGGGGACGAGGAGACCGCCGCCGCCAGTCCCTGCGGCCGACCCGAGAGCCGTGCACAAGAATGCAAGCAGTGACGCGAGAGCGTCGTGGGCCGTGAACGGATCGAACAAGTTCTTCTCCATGCACACCGAGTTGGGGCGGAAGGATCTCCCATCGACCGCAATGGTCGTTGTAGCCCAGTCGACCACGCAACGCTTCGACTGGTCCGTCGGGGATGTGCCACAGTCTGCGTCTTGTGCACATGGGGTACACGTCCTACAGCAAGACGTGAGGACTCCTGGATCGTGGCATCACGATGGAAGTGACCCTTACGATCGAACGCAAGCGAGGCCAGGCAGATACCCACAGTCCGATTGGGATACACATGCGGCCCCAAGCATCTCGTCACGAGCGACAATGCGGGCACGTGTCGACGGCGCCAGGGTAGCCCCCGAGGCCACCGCGACCGCAGCAACTAGCAACGGCAACATCCCCTTCCACTTGACTCAAAGTGGATGATCCCAACATGCGACAACGTCATGGCATGGTCCGTCTCACACGTCATTGGCTGGAAATGAAGGTGACGTTCCAGTGACCTGGAAAATAAATGTCACGAGGCGTGGGGCGTTGGGAACGTTGGCAAGGGGGGGCGACGCCACGCCATCGTCGCAAGTCGCGGCACGAGGTCACTCCTGGGTGCTTGCCCTCATCAAGAGGGAAAACGGAGCATCAAGAGGGAAAAATGGTGCATGACAACGCGAGGTGGGCGGTCGTCGTCTCTGTTGTACAGTATCTCAGTATAGAACGTACACAGAATGCGCCGAGAGCTCCCCATGGCTCCCGCGCGACACATACGTACCTGATAGTATCGGACCAGATTTTGGGACTGGACGCGGCGCGCCGTTCGTAGAGAACTCATCGTGGTGGTGTTCCGGTATATCATGCTTTGACAACCAACCTCTCATGCAGAGTTTCATGCAGTGGACGTGGGGGGAGTGTGGTCGCCAATCATATTGGGCATTGAACCGGTCGTTTCGACAAGTGTTAACGAGTACATGGGTCAAGTGACTGCTGCTGTGTTTGGATTTGTCAACGATTCGTAGCAGTCGTTTGTGGGCGATTTCAAGGATTCTGAATGTTGCAGCTCTCGTCCTGGGGCTGGTCCAGGCTAGAGCTGCAAGACACAGCACAAGCGACGGCCAGGGAAGCAAACCACGCCGCCATTGACGTTTTCGTCGACATGCAGTACATACACCTGTGTGCATATCTCCTCCGGTCACGGTGTCACCACAACAAAACATATCTCGGGTCACGCGACCCACTTGCGCCGGTTAATTATCCGAACCCGTTGATGTCGAACTCGTTGATGGCGATGGAGGTGGCCTTCGCGGCCGTGGGCTGTAATAATGCATCCCAGTGCATGTCCAGAGCGATTCCTACTCGTAGTGGTGGTTCGGCATACCGGATTGCCTACGGGGCGTCTTCATCCATCGCCATAGCTTTGTTCACACCGTCCACGCCGCCATCCACTCCCACCATTGTGAACAGGTTGCATGGTCATCGTGCGCGTATCTCGAGCGGTAAGGCACGACCTAGCATCATGTCTGTATGCATAACGAGCTGTAGTGTACTGGGGTAGCCAAAACGTGAACAGCGGTGAGGACAGATCCATTATCCTGTCGGGTGATGCAGCTGGTACCGTTCGAGTCCACACTGAGCTCAGCGACAACCTCTGGGTCTCGCAAGATGTCGCCACGTGCTCGGGGTCGATCTCTGCTGTCAATTCGATCTCCACTCCCATCCACACGTTTCTGCTTGCCGCGACATCGATCGGGGACGTCTTCGTGTACACGCTTCAGAGCAATGGGGCGACCACCCCCTGCTCGACCCTAACACTGGGAGAACGCCACATTGTCGAGACCATTGCAACCATCGGTACGAGCGATGGCTGCATTCTTCTGGCTCTGGGTGGTGTCGACTTGCAAGTGCACCTCTACAAGCTCGACCATACGGCCTCGTCCACCGACCTCGTCCACATTGCATCGCTGTCAGGTGCGTGGGGCGACTCCACCTTTCACCGGTCGAAACGGCATGTGCTTTACATGAAATGCACAGGGCACAAAGGTTGGATCCGTGGCCTTGACTTTACAGCAAGCGGGGAGCAGTCTGTCTTGCTGGCATCGGCAAGCCAAGACCACAAAATTCGGTTGTGGCGCATCACGCCTGCGTCCATGTACACGGCGAATGTTGAGTTTGGCTTTGCTTTGAAATACGAGATGCGTGTGTAGGGAGGTCTCCTTTGACGCGATGCTGGTCGGACATGACGACTGGGTGACGAGTGTCTTGTGGGTCGCTCCAGGTCGCTTGCTCCTGTCGTCGTCCATGGATAACCGCCTCATTTTGTGGCACATGGGCCGCGACAACCACCAGTGGACGCCGCAGCTTCGCGTCGGCGATCTCGGGTTCGTGCTTGGACTTCCCATTGCGTCCTCTCACGTCGCAGTGACAAAACGTAGTGGGTCCGGCTTGCTGGCGTGCGCTGCACCACCGTCCAGTTTATCCGCACGAGTCGTCTCGGAGGTCGTGGCGCTCACGTTTGGTGGCCAACTGCACCGCTGGGCGACGTCGAACGCAGGGCAAGTACACTTTGCTCCCATCGCAGGTGTGACGGGTCATACGCGTGCTGTCGCGGATGTCGTGTGGTCGTTGTGCGGCGATTACTTTGTGACGCTGTCGCGGGACCAAACGGCGCGGGCATTCGCCAAGGCTGGTGGCAGCACGTGGACCGAGATCTCGCGCGTCCAGGTGCACGGGTATGACTTGACATGCGGGTGCTTTGTGGACCCGTCGCGGTTTGTCAGTGGCGCAGACGAGAAGATCCTTCGTGTACGACGCATCCTCGTGCTTCGTCCATCGTCTCCTCATCGGCGAATGCGCCAGGTCTTTGCAGTACCGGAAGGCATGGCCGCTCTCGTGCGGGGCGAGCCCTCGTCCGCGGGCTTTGGCATGGTTCCCGAGTTGAGTTTGACAACGAAACCAACAACGCCCCTCCACGACCCAATGCCCACGGACCGCTTTGTCGGAGAGCAGCTGAATCGATCGGTGTGGCCCGAACTCCAAAAACTCTACGGCCACGGACACGAGTTGCTGTGTGTGACGACCAATGCGGCTCGGACGACGCTCGCGTCCGCGTGTAAGTCCCGCGACGAAAAGTTTGCCGCCGTCTGGCTATGGGACTCGTCCAAGTCGGACATTGTCGCCTTGCAACAACTGCCCGGCCACGCGTCGTCGGTGGTGCAATTGGCATTCTCACCCAACGATCAGAATCTCATTTCCGTGTCCAAGGATCGGCATGTGTGTGTCTTTACGCTGCAGTCAGGTACGGCTTGGTCCGTCCTTTTGCCTTCTCTCCGCCGCGTGGTGTGTGCTCAAGCAGCTCGTGTCCACTACTAGATGGATCGTACGCCCTCGCCTCCAAGCAAAAAGTCCACAAACGAATCGTATGGACATGCGGGTGGTCGCACGACAGTCGGTTTTTCGCGACGGGATCGCGGGACGAGACCATGTTGGTGTGGGGCCAACTCAACTCGACGTGGCAGCCAGTACGTGTGGCGCTGGCCGTTGGGTTGCGACCGATGTGTTGAGGCTGTTGTTTTCGCATGTAGATGTCCGCCGCGATGTCGTTTCCGTCGGCTGTGACGGCGCTAGCCTTCGGCACGACAAACCGCGGCGCCTCCGGCAGCTATGTTATCGCTGTGGGCCTCGAGTCCGGGTGCATCCACCTCGTCACGGCGACAATCTCGGACGAAGGGCAATGGGCATTCGATATGACTCTTGCCGGCTTCCATGCCCACGCGGGCACTGTCACAAAGCTGGCATGGCACCCGACGACTGCTGGGCTTCTCGTGAGCTCGAGCGAAGATGCCAGCGTCGTCCTGTTGCAAGTGGATGGGCTCGGTGCATCCCTTTCGTAGCATGATCGAACGATAATCAACGGAATAGCGCCATGTTTACAATCGACGCGACCACCGTTCCACTACTGCCCACACCACGTAAACGCCGACGCGATGCACTGGTCAAAGGTCCACCCAATGTAGCATCCCTGCGTGGGCGGGTAAAAGCAATTGGAGCACGTGCCGCACACGGCGCTGTCGCGTACACGTCGTGGGGTGAACATTGGCGAAGTCGCCGCTGGCGCGGCAGTCAGCCGTGGCCGACTACTTCCACGGGACAATGCTCCAAACGTCTTGGTAGCTTCCCGCATCCACTGCACGATTTGGTGGGTCGTTTCGAATCCCATGTCGACGTCGGTCGACCCGGCATACACCATCATGCCCCCCATGTGCGCCGCGTAGTTGTACTGGACCCACGACTGCACGACCCACGACTGAGGACCCGAGCCATACGAGCACGCGGCGCCCATGCACATGCCGAGCGCGATCTTGTCCCGCGGGACTTTGGCGGCCCATGCTTCAAATACTGTCTTGGTCGCGCTCGCATAGACTTGCTACGCACGTCCGTGATCGCGGCATGTCACAATTCCAAAACGTACGTTGGCATGGGCGGCATTCGTGTCGACGTTGTACGCCATGATGTTGATCCAGTCCACATATGCGTCGATTCCAGTCGCAAAGCACCGCGACGCTATGGAAAATGCACCCGTGAGCTGCACGAACCAGGACGCAACCGGGGACCAAGAGGACGTCGAGGCATTGCCACGCATCGAAGTACGTACTCTTCCAGCACTCGGCGCTCGTTTCGAGCATGTACGCGTCGTACGAGATGAGGTAGTCGTTCCCGTTGGACTTGAGCGTCGTGTGCAGGGCCTCCATATACGCCCGGACGCGCTGATCGTTGTACAGACCTTCAAAGTAGTTGGTTTCGTCGTCAATGTCGACGCCGTCCAGCAGGTACTGGTCCACGAACGCCTTGACGCTGGCGGCGAATGCGTCCGGATCGTGGATCGTGCTCATGCCGGCATTGTTGTTTGCGCCGCCGACGGCACCCATCACGTACATGCAACGCCTACACACACACTGGTCGGATTGTTGTTTTGCGACGGAGTCGGTGAAGCGTACTGCCGCAGCGCTTGGACGCAAGGCGCAATGTTGCCTTGAAACGTCGGGTTCACGCGGCCGCCAAACGTTTGGGCAAAGCCAAACACGACATGGGTGACGCCATCAGGGACCTGCGCGCGCGCGACGTCCGTGAAAAGACGATTAAACGTGATGCCTGCACCTGTTCGCAGCCAGTGACTTCGGACTGCCAGAACAGAATGACACGGTTCTGCGGCGCGACGTCGGGGCACGTCGCCGCGCGCCTCGTCTGCGCCATCCACGACGACGTTTTCGGCATGTTGGCGACACCCGTCGCGTCTTGCGATGATCTCGGCGCGTTCATGCAAAAGAACACAACAGCAAAGATTGTAAAGCATCCTAGACATGCACAACTTTGACGTGGGGTTGTCGCACGACGAACAGCGGCGCACCCGCGATGGTCAACCCGAGCTGGAGGTAGGCGGCGAATGGGTGCCGTCCCTTTGCATGGAGAAGCGGCTTGGACTCACGTGTAGGCGGCAGCATGACGCGAACTGACTGGCGGGCCGTGGCGAAGGTGGCACGACGTGGGTCTTACACGGTATGTCGACAACTTGTTGAACCAAATCTGGTGGGGTCATCCTCCGGATACTTTGGTTTTTCCGGATATCACCCTTGCATGCGTTCAAAGTATGCCGCGCGGGCGACGCCGCCATTTGTGCTGCGGAGTGGTGCTTCATGGTTCATGACGGTGCGTTGGCTGGCGAGATGGCCCGGTCGATCTCGACCTCTGTGGTTGAACGCGATTCGTTCGCCACAAGTGGGCCGTCCGTTCCTGATTCGTTGTGCACACCCCGTTCGAGAAACCGAAGGCTGCGACACTCGACGAGGGATGGATGCGTGATTGCCCCGGCACAGCAGGATTCGATCGGGACACGACGTGCCTGCACAACCCAAGCAAGATAAGCTTTGTGAGGATGGAGTACGCCACTCTGACAACTACTCGGTCGACACGGTCCCAACCGTTCTCTATGGGGCAGCACACACGCTGGAAAAGCCGAGGTCGACGCCTTTGGCAAAATCGCGGAACGCCGTTTGCGCGCCGACATATCCCATGCACACGGCCGAGAGCCCAATCGTAAAGGCCAAGATGAACACCAAGATCGACGTCCGATGGTACTTCTTCAGCAGGTACCCCACGACCTACCACAAACGGCATTCGATTTCGATTGCTCGATTTTCATGGACACATCACCTTTTGCCCGAACAGCCCGCCGCAACACCCGACCGTGGCAAACCACAGCACATAATCTTTTCCCACACGGTGATGAGCACGGACTCCAGAGGCATACTCGTCGGTTGTCGTACCATATTGCAGTTGGCCTGGAAACATGCCAGCGATCGAAAACAGCAACGTCGTGGCGGACGACGTGAACAAGATCATAAACGAAGCTGTCGACGACTGGACGGGCGGCAAAATCCCGTTTTCAAGCATGACAGGACCTTTGACCATGCCCCCTATCGAGATCGCCTTCGAACATCCTGTCGCACCTCTTGCTCCCACCTCCGATGCCAAGCAGGCCGGCTGCAATCCCCGCAACGACGCAGTAGAGTGGAAAGACGACGTGGGTCTTGGCACGCGTCCAATGCACGTCGCCGTCGACAAAGACAGCTTTCGACAGCACGCGGAGTCGGTTGCGCAGCCGCAAGCGCTGGCCCATCCAACTAGACATAGCACCACATGAATGGGCAGGGGAGCACGGAGCGCGACGCCGTACGCCATGATGCGGAGCAGGATGGCCAGCGGGACGAACGTGAGCAGCCAGTAGGCCATCGTGCCGCACGGGATTCCCAGCAAACTCGGAGCACCGTGGCCGCCCAGCACGATCGCTTGCGCAACCACAACGCACTGGAAATGGCACAAATAGATCGAGATGAGCCACGTGTGTGTTGTGGTACATGGACCTTCCAAAGGGCCGTCTCGTTGCCACGCAAATCGAGCCACGTACCCAGCACGCGAAAAGCGGCAGCACATTTTGCATCGGGAACGTTGTGCACTCGTCAGTCGCCAAGGCCGCCCGTGTCTTTGCAAAAAACTCTTCTTTGTTTGGAGGTAGCACCAACGGAGGAAGCGACTTGAAGTCGGCTTCGTCGTCGCGGCGCTGGACGCGCCGTTGGCGGCTCTCCCGCGTCACCAGGAGCCACTTGCGAGCACACCACTCGACCTTTCGCTGGTATCACGCCACGTTGAGCTTGTCCGATGAATGTTCAAACCGCGATACCTTGACTTTGTCGATATGGATCAAGCACGACGTCGACTCGTCCGCGGGCGGCGCGGTAGCTGTGTGTAAGGCGAGCTGTTCCTTGCCGAAGACCTGCATCATGGGATGGTCCGTTTGTGCATAAAGGAGAGAGAGAGATGGCACCTTGTACCCCTTTTGCAGCGTGCGATACGATGTGTAGCTGAGCAACGTGATGAGAAGAATCAAGATGAGCCAGGATGGAAAGATCCTGTTGAACATGACGCCAAAGATGGACCCGACCAACGTCGGGGGCTCCATCATTGCGGCCAGCGCGTAGTCGATCAAGGGTCGCTTTGGTCGAACTACATGAAAACGGTTGGGGACGACACAGGTCGGGTGGTCCGCGGCGACGTACGCGGATGGGGCTTGCGAAAGTTGACGAAGAAGGTCGCGGCCGCACCGCCAAAGATGGTGGCCTTGGACAGTGGAATCGCGTGTTTCGGGCTGAGTCCCACTACCAAAATGTACAAAGGCACGAGAAGACCGCCGCCGCCGACGCCGCATCCTGATCCAAGTGCTGCGCTGAGGAATGCCATGCATGTCGCAAACACGTCCGCCGCCGTGAACGGGTCAAACAGATTCTTCTCGATGCACACGGTGGAGCGAGTCGTCGGCAGAACGATGCAACGCTTCGACAAGTCTGTCGGAAACATGCCGCAGTCCGCGTTCGTCGTACAATGCGCACACGTCCTACAACACCATCCAGCATCACTGCCGCGTGTTTCGACAGTGGCGGGGGCATGTTACTGGTTGATGCAGGCGAGGCCTGGAAGAAACCCGCAGTCCTGACGTTGCAAGCACTGGAGGCCAACGGCAGGGTGCTTGACGCCCGCCGACGCAGCCACGCCGGCAGTTCCCAGCACGAGAAGCACCTCGGCGCGCATGTCGCGTCTCTGGTTGTGACTTGGTCGACTTGGTAGCCGTGGTCTTGAGCCAATCAAAACGCATAGATTCGATCGCCGCCACAAAATGAGCCAATCAGATCTCGACTAGTCTCATTACATCCGCTCCAGAGCCGCATGACTCTCTAACCGGTCAAGCCGCCTCGTCGAGCGAGCGCCAAGGAACCGCTCGGGCCAGGACAGCGCGACGCACGCGTGGCAAGGGCTCCGTCTCCGCGACTTGGCGACCAGTACGTGGACTGTCCTCGTTTTGGCTAAATTTAGCACCGACATGAGCGTGCTGCATGTGATGGGGACCTTGTTCCGGAGGGGGCGTCATGTACAACAAAACCATGGATACATCAACAACGAGAAAACTAGTAGCGCCCTAGGCTCGACACCCTCCGACAGTCCATGCAACGCAAATGGTTACCACCCCGCGAACGCACTCGTGTGGGGGTTGCATCCTGGTCCACCCGCCATCTTCATGCAGGACGTGGCGGGGAGTATCGCAAGGAGGTTTGTGCCGACGCCAACGACGAGGGAGAGCCCCGTGACGGCCAGCGTCAGCGTCCCAATCCACGGCTGGCGGCCCCCTTCTCGCTTCAGCGTTTGAGCTTGGCGCTTCTGTGCTGGCAGCAATAGCAACGTCACGAGGCTCGTCAACTTCATCGCGTACGCAATCCCGTACGTGTACGCAACGCGATTGCGGACGTCGGGCGTGTCGCGGTCAATGTCGGTTTGGTACACGTGGAAGAATCCATCGATGAAACTGGATGCGGCGCTCGCGAGCGGCGTCGCGAGGTTGCCAACCGTCGTGACCAGGCCGTACGTGGCGCCTTCGTGGCCGGCGTCCGTGACTTCGACGGTCACAAACCTGCAGCGCCACACGTCAGCCACAACACAACGCGACGACACCAGCAACGGCATACCCCGACACGACGAACCGAATGCCCTGCGGCAAATTGTTGAGCACGGGCGCGCCCAGGTAAAACCACTGGTTCCGTACGATGTCGCCGATCGTCAGCGCGCTCACGAACGAGTCGACGGCGACGATGGCGACCGTCGTCAATGCGACCAAGACGCGCCAGTCCGCGTCGAGAAAGTACCAGTTTGTCAGGACCATCCCAAACGCCATCAACGCGGTCGATGCCATGCTGAAGATGCTGTCGTTGATCGGCTCGACGTGGGCCCAGTCGGACGCGACGACGCTGCTCGGGGCCGCGTCGAACCCGAGGAAAAACCCGTTCAAGTACTGGAACCACATCGTCTGCCAGATCGCGCGCTGCGTGCACACGGCAAACATGTCGCGGCACTTGTCCGAGAGTGGCGACACGTTGTCCGGGATGTTGTCCGGGAAGACCAGCACGGCCGGGAGGACGGCAAGCACGACGCAGCACAGGGCCCACATGAGCGCGTTGAACGAGATGGACCACGAAAACGCACCGCCGTACTCTGGGCCATTCAGCACCACGCCCACGATTCCCGTCGCAAGGCTGTTGAACACGTACCTACATCGCAGTGTCAGCAAGATCGAGTTGCATCCATGGACCGAGCGTACTTGATGATGTACGACCAGCTCTGCGTATGGCCGCGAACGTCTTCCCTCTCGGTCTGCGCGAGCTCGACCATGGCCGCATCACACGCAACGTCCGCCATGACATACCCCATGCTGGCGCCCATGAGGAGAAGGATGTACTTGGTGCCGTCGGCAGGGGCGTGGGGGTTGTCGACGCGGCGCAGCTGGACGTTCGGGACCGACAAGATTTGTCCCTTGACGTAGTACGGCGCTTCGGTCGGCGTATTCGCAATGTGCAGCATGAAGCCGAGGGCGATCAACCACCCCAGCAGCACGTACGGACGGCGACGGAAGCCCCACACGGGCACGCTGTCGCTGACGAGACCGAAGAAGACTTTGAAAGACCACGCCATGTCGATGATGCTCGTGCATGCCGCGACTTGATACCCGTCCATGTTCAAGTACATGCGAAAGAATGGATACACGGTGCGTGGGAACGCCCCATGAAGGATGCCGACACCGGCGTACGTGATCATGAGCCCAATGTGCTTGGGGTGGCATAGGTTGGGTACACCATTCACGTAGGACGACGCGACGGACGGCGGCGTTTTCCGCAATAGACCTGCTTCGTCCTCTCGGACCGCGCTTTCGTCATCGGCGGTCGGCGCCATGTCGGTTCGAGACCGTTTCACAGCACAACAGGGGCTGTCACGAAATGTTCGACTTGGAATCGATTCAAAGGCAAAAGATGAAAGATGGATTTCAAGTTGGAACGACGTAAACTTGCCGCCTCGTTCGCCGCCCCCATGAACGGAACGAGGCGTGCCATCTAGATTAAGAGCCCGTCCGAACTTGAGGCACACTACGAAGCGGTCCCTGTCGAGCCTGGGCATGCATCGTGTGCATGAAGGACTTTGCGTGCTGCATTCAGCGAGCCGTCACGGGTCCCTCCTGAAGGGTAGTGTGAAGCGTTGTGCGTCCAGTGGAGGGTGGGGCGTCCACCGCAACGCAGCTTGCGTCGGTGGCGAAATGGTTGTTGGTAGCTATAAATATCGATACCTCGCCATTGACCAGCGAACGGCAGTCGGTGCGAAGCATGAGCCATCAAGTAGGGTCGGCGCCCCCCGACGCCCTTGAGTCGTTGGGTACGACGTCGAGTGTAGAGCGAGGAGGCAGTCACCATGAGCAACTCTAGTGACGAAGACGGGACCAGCCAAGGGAACAGGAGGCAGCCATGACGTGGTGCGAGACGTCGACATCAAGTACCCCACAGGCGACCAGGCCGTGCTCCTCGACGACATCGGGTGTGGCTTTTGCTAGTACGTCCCCGTGGTTGCAATCGTCGAGGCCAGGCTCATGGGATTTGTAGCTACGAGTCTGGCCGCGTCGCCGTGTGTGTGAGCAAGGTGAACGCCCTCCAGAAACGCTACTACTTTTACGCCAGTGCGGATGCATTGGGCGCACGCCGGGGCTCATTGTCGTTGTAGACAATCGAAGCAAAGTCCTTCTGTGTTCGATCGACGAGCACGTGGTATGGCGAATTCAATCTTCACCACATACCGTCGGCCACAGCGGACTCATGGCGTTGGCAGGTGGGGATGGCGGGGCGGCCCGACGGCACCAAGTTGGTTCTGACCAAAGATAGCGCCATCTTGTCGAATGCCACGAACGACATCGTCAAGGTCCACCTCCATCGGTGGCTGCGGATTCCCATGATTCTCGTTAGACGTGGCGGTGGAATCCAAACGCGCAAAACGCGGGCACGCCTCCGTCCGACCCGATTGTGATTCAGCTCAACGAGAGCCTCACGTTCAAATTCGTGGACCGCAAGCACATCGCGGTCAAGTTTGTCAGCGTCGGTGTGTCGGTCGTGTTTGAGTGCGGCGAACGGCTCAAACGCGACGACACGTACCTCCAACACAGCACCAAGTACGTCGCATGACCCCGGACGCGGCGACAAACGCGATTGGAACGGTAGAATCCAACATGGCGCGCAGCGAGGCAAGCTCTTGGTCGACACGGCACACCAGCCCAACTTGATTCAACGGCAGAAACAGATCGAAGTCGCTGCGCTGGAGAAGCGCAGCAAGCAGCACCCCCGCAGCACCGACCTCACCCACTCCGACATCAAACAAGTCGTGACGGCCCTCGAGCACAAGTTTGACGACTACCAAGTACGTACCCATCGTTCATGACCCTCCCGCTCCCTTCGACCTTCATCTTGACGGATCGTTTTCGTGATGGTTGCTTAGGGACTGCATGTGACGCCGTACTGCACGGGATCGTGGCTCCAGGACGCGCAAAGCCAAACGTTGGCCGACCTCCCCGTGCTGCCGAAAACAGGGTTCGAAGTCGGGAAGGCGCCGACGTTGTTTGGCCGGGAAATGCACCCGCATGCACCGTCGCACTTGGTGTCGACGCTGCAAGACAAAGATGGCAAGTGGCTGTCCTCGCTCGACATTCGCACGCGATTAGAGCGCGCGAGCCCCGTTCTGCCACGAACAGCCGTGCTGTGTAATGCCAGTGGACGATACAGCGTCGACATACAGGTGGTACACGTCGAGCCCGTTGTGTGTGGCCGCTCGTTCGTGCCGACATGGTGCAATCCTCAGCGGTCGACTGCTTGCATTAGATTCCCGGGGGATCGGCGCAGCCGGAAGGCACCAAGTTGGAGGTCGTGTCGGGGCATCAACTCGATGACTTCCTCAAAGACGATTGCGCCACCGATCAACTCGTCGTGGTTGCTTGCCTACGCGAAGACGACTTGAGCAGTCGAAAGGCCGAAAAGGTGCTGCAACTCGTCGCGACGATACTGGCGCATCCGCAGGAAGACTTGTCGCCGCATGCGCTGCCTCAAGCGATCGTGTACGTCGCCCACGTGACGCCACGTTTCTGTTCATGAGCCTGCTCCGCCAAGTCGTCCATTCGCTCGTGCAACTCACAGTCGAACGATGGTGTTGGCATGCTCGTAGGGCCGGCATCGTGAATGCCAAGTACCGCCTGGTCAAAGTCGATTTGGCCGAGTCGCGCGAATTTGCCAAGCGGTTTTCCATCCATGCGACGCCGACTTTTCTCATGTACGAGCCGCTTTCGTCGTCGAGGCCCCACTCCGCTTGCTGTTCAAATCGATCCGTCGTGGCGGCCTCTCTGCCGCGTTGGGACCTCGATCCGTCGTTTCGGGCACGACTCATGGCGAGAATTGTTTGGTGGCAGGTTCTTTGAAGGCAAGTTGGTCGGTGTGACGAGCCTGGGCGGCCATGCCGTGCGCATTGCCCCAACCACACGCAATGTTAACTTGACGAGCAAGATGGATCACCCGCCTCGAACGCTCTTGGTTCAACGAGGCGCCAAACAACAGGTGCATCTTGTTTCCGATAGACTTGATCCCCATCGCGAACGATGGCTAAGGCTTGGTGGTAGGTACTGAGCGAGAAGACGCTACGAAAGGAGTTGTTTGCGTGGGACTTGGCACTCGGCGCAGAGGTTCGTCCAGTCGGTGCAATCGATAGGGCGTAGCGACGAGAAAAGTTGAGCTCGACGTGGTTGTGATGCGTCTAGGAAGCGTTCCAGCGCTTGTCAAAGCTGAACAAAGCCACTCAGGGTCATGGCGTCCCTCCGTGTTACAATCTCCTCCTCCTGTGCGACGACGTAAGTCGTTCGTGGTGATGGCTTTGGTCACGACGAGGGTCGATGGCGACTTCGTCCTGCAGTGCTTCTGCCAATCCGTTATTCCGTAATGTGGACGTCGCTGCATCTAGATCGGCGAGGCAGACCTGCGTTCGTTGGAGCGATACATCCGCTCAACAGATAGCAAGAAGGCGCCCAACCCCACCCAGCAGTGCGTCGTGGGTTTGATAGTGACGAGCCCTGTCTTTGAAGCTCCATTTGCCTCGACATTGTGCCAAAATTGTCGGACAGCGCAAGGCCGCCGCGTGAGCGTCGCCACAATCGATGATGGTACTGCATGCGCGTTGTTGTCGACGACTTAACTCGGGTGTAGGCGTGTGCCCTCATTGCGGCATCATTCCGAAGGCCATCGTAGAAGCATCGTCCGCGATGTCGACAGTCTTATCGGTTGCCCAAGTGTTTATATATCGTCATATCCGTGCGCCGACGCTGCACCGCCTTGCTGAGAAATGGGCTGATCAAGTCACTCAAAAGAAGTCGGAGCAGGTCAGCTCGAACCAACTTCTTCCAACAATGGAGACGCGTGACAACGTTGGTTTGCAGATGCTACGCGGCGCCGAAGTCGAGTTGCACAAGGGGCTGACAAAGGACACGTTGCTTCGTGAGATGGAGCGCTACCTTCAGGCTGGTCGCAGAGGCCTCTTTGTTCCCAAGGACAGCACCCTCCACATGGCCCTCAGCGCCGCCGACACCTCCGTCTTGAACACACACTTGACAGGGAAACCCAATTCTGCGTGAGCTTCCTTTGGAAGAATAAACGCATCAAATAAAACGTACTACCTCTCTATGCCTTCCATTGAACTTGACTAAATAAACGCATCGCTGTATGAAAATCAGTATTTAACACATTTGGTTGATTCTTCGAGTCGTAGGTTTTATTGAAACTCGTTAAAATATCCAAAATGGTACATGTACCCTAGATATCAAACAATTATATTTCTACTGCATATTCTCGTACTATGTAATTTTGAATGCGTATAAAAGTTACAAAAAAAATCCACAATATCTTCTGTGAGTTATTGGTTTGCGATGCATTCACAGTGAAGCAAATATTTCTTGAACTTGAACCGCGCCATTGGTGGAAATCGGTGGAATGAGTCGCACCACCGAGCATGCCTGGCCATCCATGCGGTGACAGTGCCTGACCTTGGTCTGACATGGTATGTTTCGATGGTAGGCGTCTCTTCCGTCGAACGGGTCAAAGCAGCAGCTCCGCCAACTGCCGCAATGGTTTCTGTTGCTCCTTCCTCCTCCACATCAGTGGAGTCCTGTGGGATACGCGCGACCACGATGGTGTGTGGCGTCGTCGTTGCAAGTGCGATACTTTTAACAATCGAAAGTTGGCACACAGTCTCTCTCTTTGGAAGGAACAATGTCATAATGAACGATCGATCCGCCACGTCGGTCAACGCTGTCGGTCTGCTGCAAATGAAAATGGCCAGACCCTGTAATTTAATCGCTGCTCTTGCGAAGGTATCTGCCGTATGAGATGTGATCCAGGGGTGGCAAGAGCCCTGGCGGAAGTGGCGGCACGTCTCAATCGCCTGACGAGTTGTTGTTGGTCGCCTTGGATTCATCATTTTGGCGCCATCGGTAGGACTACCTCATTGCGAAAGCTACGACCTCGAGTGTGGCAAGCGTTAGCTCACAGCAGCCACCCAAGCGCGACAGCACGCAATACCGCCACTCGTTTCAACCCAGCAGCGTTGTCACCGCCACAGATGGTCCTTCGGAAGGCATTATCTCGACCACTCTCGACCGAACGGTTACGGTTGCCTCTTCTCTTGACGGGAAGGCGACACCAATTGACACAAACGCTGGACTATCCCTGTAGCTCCTGCGGTCTCTCAAATGGATTGAGTACGTGTTCGGGAAAATGTCCGACCCTCTCCGCAACTCGTTGAACGACTCGACTTATGCAGCCCCCCTCGCCCCGACGGCGTTCAGCCCGTTTGGCGCCGCTCGAATGTCCACTTCGCACAACGTCCTCGCGTGGGTGAACGTGGAAACGAGCCGCCGCGCGGCCGGGGCGAACCAACGCATGACTCTGCTTGTGGTCAACACGATGTCCGACCGCACACGACAATGTTTTTCTTCTGCTCGGATATATTGTACGTGCGTGATCCGTTTTGAATGAATGGGGGAAGAGATTCCATGAGTGTTCACGGTTGGCGCAGAGGGGATGTGTGGAATGCTAAATTTTGAGCCGAGCTAGGTTCTGGAATGCGCGAGCTAGTGCGACCCGACTGCGATGTGGATCAAGATAATTGGTTGTAGTGGCGGATCGGTGCTGGCGAGCCTCCTGCGGTCGCGGCGCGGCGGCGACATGGCCGGTTGAGGTGGACAACCAAAACTACTCTGAACGAGACACGTCGAAGTGCTGGACAATCATTGGATTGGTGTCATCACGTGGCGTGGTACTTTCGGACTCTTTTGCAGCGAGATCGATCGCAACAAGTCGGAAGGAGAGGACCGAGGACGGACCACCATGTGCAAACGACTCGTGCAGGTCGTGGCCAAAATGGCGAGGACCTGGGACCATATTCGAGCGGATGCGGGACACCACGGACGAACACCAACTGGTGTATTGCTTCGGACACCGTTCCTTGGACTTGATTCTTGTGACGTAGCAGGTGAAACGACGCTCACTTCGTCATCGATCGATTTCGCGGCGACGGGATATCGCTGGTGCGTGCGACCCACGCGGATGCGCTGCCTTGCCCACATGAGTGGACGAATACAATGGCTGATATGGAGATTGGTCGCGCATGCAGCGATGTTGTTTTGAGGCAAGCGAGGATGGCAGGACTTCGTCAAAGCTTACATTGCACAAGGCCGCAGCCACCACATCACGGGATGTGAGGCCTGTCCAGGTTGGTTCGCTGCAGCAGGCGTTCCAACTGGGGTCGTTTGCGTTACGTGTGTTTAGGAACAGGAACGACCCCCATGTCCACGACGTCGTGCTCGAGCGGTGCACCATCGATGGATGCGCCAATGCCCAGTTCACGTGGCTCGATCAACGAATCGCCTTACCATCGTCCATGGCGACCCCAACGTTCTATTCCCGTCGCGACTATGGACGACGTGCAAAAAAGTGCAATCGGCGCGCGGCATCCCCGCGACTTGGTCAAAAATGTTCATGGCATCGTGAGATGGATGGGCGTGGGATTTCAGGCGTCGATGGGATCCAATATTCCTGGCAACAGCTTGTCGAGTTCTGGTCAAGCGCGGGCTGACCACCTAGTGATTCGCCGGCTTCTGAAAACTCCATAGTGCTCGATGCAGCGTTGGCGGGTCCATTGATGCTGCTCGAACCCGTACGGGGCGAGACGAATTCCAACGCAGTTGCTTGCATGGTGCCGTACAGCGCCACGATGGAAAATCCTGCGTGTGCTGGCTGGTCTCCCATGTAGGTTGCGACTCCGGTCTAGTGGATGTCTGCTTCGAATTGACTAGATTGCTTAGTATTACTGTGAACATTACTTCAGAGTAGTATGAAGAAAGGTTTAGTACACGGTAGGTTTAGTAGTACTTTACTCCACATCCCAAGAATGGCGCTGTAATATCATCGGATGTACTTCATTGCAGCGAGAGGCGACGGAAGCAGGAGCCCGGGACAAGAACACGCCAGCAGACAACATCCCCTGCAACATCAGGAGCCATGTGCATTCTACACATAGACGAAGATGACGGCGACGGCGACGACAAAGCAGTGGGGTCAAGGAAGTGGCGGCTGAGTCACACTCCACCAATGCAACGCAAACATGGTCAAGGGCGAGGTGACACTCAAGAAGGTCAATGCCTTTTGAAAACGACAACACGAAGAACTCACGTTCTTGAGATTGAAAACCTGGGACATGGGGTCTCAACTCGAGCCGCTCCAAACCGAACCCGTAACTCCGTGGAAGATTGTGACGACTCAGTTGCGCGCCGATAAGGACCGTGCGGTCGGCGACAACGAAAAGTTGCGAGCGGGGTCGCAAGAGCACGTGGATTTTGGGAATGCATTGCAAGCAATCCTCAAGCAACGACCAAGCTTGTCGACGATCCCAACCGTATCGACGATGTTCCATATGCCTGCAGACCCCGTCGTGCCACACAGCGACAGCCATCGACAGTAGACAGCCATCACAGTACAGATTCCTGCTGACCATTCACGTGAGCAGTGGGTTGATGGACCAAACGATTGACCTGACGTCGTGCGCGCCCAAGTCGTGCCAGGAACCGCGAACCAGTTCCACATAAACATCGACTTCCAACTGTGGAGTCATATGCAATGGATAGTGCTCATTGGCGAACCTCCAGGAAGCGCCGGATCCTCCCTCATAGGTAGGCGGCCGCCGCCTCATTTTCGCTACGCATCTCGTTTTGGATCGCGGACATCGCGTGTCGCATCGTCGACTTGGGGGGCAATGCCACGACGCTGGCAAGCGGTACTTGGACCTGCGTGTGAGATCTTCGTGTTTTGGTGAGGATCCCTCGTCACCACCAACGGAATCTCACACGAATGTGCACATCCCACTGACATAGGAGTTGTCATTGCGAACAAGATGGCATGGTGTACAAGCTCCTCTCGGCGGATGTGTCGGTGAACGAAGGTGATGTAGGCTTGTTGTGAAGCCAGTGCTCGAACCGCAAGGAGGGTGTTCGGTCCATTGTTTTTTCAATCAGGCGACCTCGTCGATTCTCCAAAGCAATGCGACGATCCCTGACATCGCGGCTGTCGAGAACGTCATCGATGGACGCATTCGTCAAGTCCTCCCAGATCATGCAGCACTTCGAAGGCGTGATGTCCATGCTGCTGCCGCACGCAGGCATGTGGCGCATGTTCGACGATCTCTCCAACGGCAAGCCTTGCCAAGTTGAAGTCGACAGCTGTACGGAATCGTACAACCGTCGTACATCATGTACAATTTCATGTACTGCGACTGGAAGGCATCGTATTCTCAACGTTTGACACGCATGTGGAGAGCAGTTCTGCAACACCAAAGCAACATGGAGCGCGTTATCTCCATCTGATCTCGAACCGAAGCCGTCTAAATGAAGGAGCGTCGGTGGTGCCTCGGTGCGTCGACGTACGTGGCCGTTCCACCATTCCGCGACACTTTTTCGCATATCGAGGTCGAGAGAAAAAACCTGTGACATCGAATTGTTCGGGCCGGATAAAGCGGTCGGATCTGGGATGTTATCCGGATTGGGGTTTTGTAACACTTTCGACGTTTTCAAGGTACACTTTTTTTGCCAAGCGGGTCGTTTGACGCCAACGCTTCGGCGACGGAACATGAACCAAGCGACGCTCGAGCGCGACGACGTCCTGGTCAAGTGCGTGCATCTGGCGCAGACGCTCCAGCTCACGTTCCCCACAAAGCAACCCCACATGTATGACACCGGTGACGCAGCATATCTTCCTCACGTTGTTCAAACTCTCACGCACACCCAAGCGTTGCCGATGGAGATTTTGGCCACACTTACGTTTGTCGCGAATGTATACCAGCAGCTTGAGCAATCCCATTACGTCGAACCCAACGTTCTCCAGTCGGTGCTGTACCACATGCAAGTGCCGCCGTTGAGTGCATTTGTCCAACCCACTCAGTATCCGATGCAATTCCATCTCCACCATCCGCACCACCACCATCATCATCATCCTTACGTGTCCGTGGCGCCCTCGCCCGCTCTTTTCATGCCCCCTCCACAACAATTTTACAGCAACTCGTTTGCGCCTCTTCAGCCACATTACGTCGTGGCATCGCCGCACCACGGAATGTCCGCTCATCCTGTAGGCTCAACTCCATTGATCAACCAAATGGAATCTCCACCGTCACCGACCGCACCAGGATATGTATGTCCGCCTCAGCAAGCTGTGTATCATCAGCATCCCCACACCACTGAAGAACACGCCAACAACCATCCCCAACAGGGCCCACAGCACATTCCTCGCGACGTGATGGACCATCAACGTGCTTCATTCTCCCCGCGCTTCGTCTCTGACACTACCCACTCGACCGCACCGTCGGCACTCGTGTACGAATCCTCCCAAGACGACTCTCCTGCTCTCGACGCCTTTCCCAACGACGAGGCGTTCTTATGTCGACATTTTACCGACGACCTCCTTCCGTTTGACTTTTCCGCTTGCCGCACGTCCACGCCATCGTTGACATCGTCTCCTAGCCACCACCAGAGCCGCCCTGAAACGAACTACACGTTCTCAAAAGACATTTCCCTCGACATTCGGCGCCACCTGGAAGAAGAGCAATTATTCAATCAACAGGCGTATGGGCACCATGAAAACAGCAGCGACGAAGGCAACTCAGGAATGGACCGCGCATCGTCGCGTTGTATCTCTCCTTCACCATCGCACGCCATGTACGGCTCAACCTCTTTTCAACCGATAACAGACATCACTGCGCAAGACGAAGACCTCTACGATGCCGCCCTCGAGCTGCGATTCCAACCTTTTCTCGACAGCTTAACCCATGACGACGATGACGTTAATGGCAACACTGCCACGGGGAACGACGTCAACGATCAACAGCCACAAGACTCGGATACGCCATCACTCCACCACGAAATGCCAACGAGCTCTGCGGACCAGCACGACCAACAGGACCTCCAAGAACAACAACATCAGCTTTTACAACCTTGGCTTGGTGACGAGCAAAACAACGTGGTTTGCACTGCATCGGGGGACGCCGCAAGCGTGACGTCGTCTTCCAATGGATCGGAGGAAGCGGAAGTGAGCACTAGGCCATTGCCATCGAAGGACCAAAAGGGTGTACAGCTAAAGCGGCGCTACCTGTACGATGCACCTACGCCATTGGAAATTCAAAAGCAGTCCGTGCAGATTCATATGCAAACCACGACCGACAGGCAGCAGGACCGCGCGGCCACCGCTCCATCGGCCACTTCCTCCACGACAAGTCTTCCATCGGCGGAAGATGTGGTCGCGGTAACAACGACGTGGATTTCCCGCATGCACGGTCAAGGCCACTGCTTTGACGACAAGGCTCGCCAAAAGTTCCAGGAACTGGTGGCCGTGGATCCGTTCCGCGCCGTCGGCATTACCGTGAGTTTTGACATTCGCAAGGACACGATTCAAAACAAGTCGGCGTGGCTTGCACGCGCGTGCTTCAACTGCCAGCGCAAACACCATCCATCGACCATGACGACCAAGTCGACAAGCTCCCGCAAAGCGTTGCCGCCCAAGACCACCCCAAACAAGACGACGACGACGTCCCGGCCCAAGTAATACCTGCCTTGCGTTCGATCCTATCGTAGAGTTGTAAAGCCTCCATCTTGGCTGTTTCTCCGGATCGCCGTGATGTCCACCCACTATGCCTGTACAAGATCTCAGCTGACCAATCAGATCTTTCGACAGCATCTTGCTCTGTCACTGGACTCTACAAAGAGCGTCATTTTCGGCAGCTGTGCTGCATGGCAAGATAACCAGGGCCCTCCCGGAATATCCACGGAGGAGACACAGCATGCACGCGAACACGACGTCGCATGCATGAACCAAGATTGGTCGGAGCACGACTCTTGGGACCGCACGACTAACCTGTACTATTCAGCAATTGCATAATGCAACCCACCGGATCGACCAAGACAACAGGTGGTGGGTTCAACTGCCCCATCCCACTCCAATATTGAGACCCCCCCATGGCGTCATGGGATACCAACCTCTAGCACACTGAGGCCGGTCTGAAGAGATATGGGGGGGGGTCCCACGAGTAATGGACCCCATAACCAGCCAAGCGCGTCACGCCAACGTTTCAATATCTGTAAAGTGCGCTCGACCCACCACCACCTTGTTCGGATGAAAGCAGTCCGCCACCTCGGACGAATGTATCATGGCTTTAGTCGTAGGTCCGCCGCCCTCGTACGCCACTCGTCACAGTCGTTCAGGAAGGTGTCTGTCTGCACCTGCGGCATTCTTGGGCATTGCGCCAACTCTGGGTGAATTGGAATCCGCGTTCGATGCAGGGCAAATTCCCGGCACGTGCAAACACACAGTCGAATCGGACGATTGGAAATGGCGTTTTAACGTTTCCGCACTTTGTTGGGTCAGGATTGCGTTTTAGGTAGTAAAACGTCCCATGCGAACACGTCTTTACAGTGTTCCTGTGCGTTCGAGTAGTTTAACGTCAAGTTCGACAACCGCGTGGAGCCAAAACGTTGGGAATGTTGGGGGTTTTGCCTACGTTTGCTCTTTTAAGTGCGGACTCTTTCCCGCACTTTCAGGATCCCACTGTACGTAGTGCAACAGGCAGCAACAGCCCATACCAGATCGCTGCCGTATCTGCCGCCGTCGCAGCTGCCGTCGCTTGGGAAGTCGATAGATGGATCGATTCGCAGTGGACGAGCTCGACTTTGAGTCCGTAGAGCCATGTCGTCCAAGTTCATTTGATGGGACGAGTTCGTTCAAGTTTGACGTCGGGATTCGTGCGCGTCAAGCGCTCGAGGGCATTCACCTGCGTCCACCACCGACTGTGAACAAGGACCCGAGGCTGATGGACTGGAAGTTTCTTAAGAAAGTGAAAGATGTCAAGGTCCACCGTGTCGACGAGTACACCCACAATATGCAGGCCACTCGTTTGAGTTTTCGGCTGTCGTGCGAGGTCAAGGCTACGCTCGAGTCGATTGTCAACGTCCTGGCGCCAACAACGACCCATGAATACATGCGCGTGGAAAAAAGAGTCTTCCCAAAGCTCCTCCAATGCGCTGTCTTGCAACAAGGTTCAGAAAACAGTCACAACATCGACCCGACGGACTTTGTTGCGTCGTTTCCACGGCATTGTATCAAGTGGCATGGCAGTCACTTGCTCACAAGCCGGCTCACGGGACGACTCGGCACGCCCAACGACTTTGTCTTTGAGGAGTATGTCGAATACGAAACGGTGCGTGTCTGGTATTCATCCCGTCGTCGAGCTCACGGTCAGCACAGTGGCACGGACGGCCGCGCTGTTTTGGATACATGCAGAGTGTCGATTCCGCCGAGGTACTTGTTGCCATCGTGCGCGCCGTCGCCAATGGGTGTATCTCCGTTTAGGACGAGCTGAAGAAGCTCTTTCCTGTCAAGTGCAAGCGCGGGGCGATCCGTAAAGGCGCTTTCCTGGTCGCCCCCGTCGACGACCAATGCATGACGCACGAAGTGTCCATCATGTACGTGTTGGACTTTCCCAAGAGCTTTGGCGTCAGCTCGGAGCGTGTAATCGCCGCCTACGTCGACCGCCTGATCAACATGCGCGAAGTACTCTTCAACACGCTCTTCCAAGCCATCAAGATATTACCACGACACAAGTGGGTCGATGATCGGTACGTTGCACGGCGGGTGAATGCAAACCCCAAGCGGTCCATGAATATGGTCAATGCTCAAGTACATCTTCGTCTTTCTTTACAGGTCGCGCCAGCATTGCGCCGTGTGCGAGTCCCAGTTCACATTGGTCTGGTCACGGCATCATTGCCGCGCCTGTGGCGAGGTACTTCATTCATCATTTTATCCATCGCGTGTCGATGTCACACTTGTCTTCACGGCATGATGTTGTGCTTGCTACTTGGTCCCAACAACCACCCCAGCGACCACTCACGCGTGTGTTGAAAAATTTAGGTGATTTGCCACAATTGCAGTCGAAAGTGGTCGATTCCGATCCAGGACGCCGGGGAACTTCTCACGCGCCTGTGTACGCCATGCTCGTTGCGGGCGCGAAGCCACTTGATGCCGGCAGCCCCAGTCACTGGCCCTGCGGGAATTGGCATGCGCTTGTCTCGGACCCACGCGACTCTCAACTCGCTGCCACCATCGTCGTTGGACCTGGAAGACTTTGACTACAACGATGTAATCCACTCGATGCACGATTCAGCGCTTCATCGACCGATGTACTCGATGCCGTACAAGAACTCTGGCTCTGGCGCTGCGTTCCGGAACGGGTCGCGCATAACGACCATGTTGCAACCGTCCGCTTTGGACAATGGCGGTCATGTCCGCGTGGGGACCGCGATGAGCTCATCATCCGAGACGGCGCACGCCGTGTCGGACGCGTGGGAAAAGATGGTGTGCATGCTGCAACAAGAGAAGCCCCACTTTGTCTTTGTCCAGTACTCGTGCGACCACAACACCCAAGCAATTGTGGACACGCTCAAGAAACTTCATCCCGACGTGGTCTTTTGCGGCCACAGCATCGGCGTCCTCGGCCAAGACGCCGTCCTGTTCCAGGAGGAAGCCTTTGTTCGACACACGCACGTTCTAAGTCTGTGGGGGCTCTGGGACATCGACGGCAACTATGCGACGGCCGCCGGGTCGTTCAAGAGGCCAGGGGTCGACCCCGCGACCACATCAGCTCCGTTGGGGAAGGAAGAAACCCGACAAGCGGTCAAGGATGCCATACGGAAGCTCCACCTGGGCCCGACGGAGAGTCCAGTAAGTGCATTTCCTGTGAACGTTCTGGTGATGAACCGTAGCATTCGATGATGTGCATCCACCATTGACATGGATTCGACTTGTAGGACTTTGTGTGGCTGGTCCCGAGCGAGGGGTACGAAGACGTAGTCATCGACACCGTCAGCGCCATGCTCGATACGTCGCTGTCAACCGTCGGCGCGTCGGCCAGGCACAGCCGTCTGTGTGGAATGGCCCATGAGGCCCATGTATTTGATCAGGACGACCCGAGCGTCGTACTCGCCATGTGCTCGCCGTCTGTCCAAGTTGCCCACGCGTACTTTACATGCTACGACCAGAACGACCGAGTGTTTACAGTCGGGAAGGCGGATGGCAAGCGATTGATGCTGCTCGACAATCAACCACCCCTCGGTCTCCTCAAAGACGTACGACCATGGTGTTGGCTGCGGCGGGGGCTCATTGAGTGTTACTGCTGCTGTAGGGCTTGGACCGTAGCAAGCGCAAGCTCTACTTGGACTCAAAGGTCTTTCCCGCGTTTGGCCGCGTTCAGAAAAAGGAAAAGAGTCTCCAGCTCATCGAGCCCGTTGCAATCCATTCGGACCTGTCTATGACGTTGTCTGCGCCCGTGGCCCGTGGGGATCAAGTGTGCCTCATGTCTATGGATCGGAAGGCGATCCCGATTGAAATCGCCGCCAGGTACATACCGCGTAGACAACATGTCGAAGCCCGTGGCTTATATGGCTTGTAGAATACGACAAGGACGGCAAGAACTGGACGTCGTTGGATGCCTCGTCAGCTGCAGTGCGAGCATCGTGCAACACCTCGGCGACGACTTTGACCTGTTGCGCACAGCGGTGCAGAATGGGTTGGGGAAGGACCCGTCGATCGCGATCACGGGGAGTTTGAGCATGTGTCAGCTGGGCGTGGTGTCGGGCGCGCATCACTTAAGTCATTCGAACGGCATGGTTGCGGCGCTTATGATCACAACGAAGCGCAAGAAAAACTGGCGTCCCCGTATGGCGCATCGAAAGTCATTTTAAAGGGAGGCACGATTCGCGCGTGTTGCCACTAACTGTTTGAGTGAGACGCGTGGGCTTTCGCTATGATGGATGCCGGTAGGAAATATGCTGTACGAGCTGTAGGGGCATTGCGGTGGGGTGTCGTCCTCTTGGCTGGACGAAATGATCAACGACTCCCGTCAATCGAATTCCAGCGCCATCCTGTGCAGGATGCATTGTTGTGGCCATGGTTTGGTGTGTGCCTGCATCCTGCCTGCAAGCGATACTCTCCCTGTGCATGCCATACGCTCCATCGATCCATCGTCCATCGAAGAGCGCCATCGAACCGGACCCCATGATAGATCACCGCCGACCACAAGTCCTCCGTCGCCGCATCATTCGCGTGGGATGTGCGACAACGATCCACATGACAAGTATACTATCCAGCGCCATGTACAACCAGAGACATGTTTAAAAGCCTCTACGATTGAATCCTAATTAGGTGCATCACCCTCGTTTTGTGTGGATTCCACTCGTGTGTCCGAAATACAAGGGAATGTTGAATGACCGTGCCCGTTTTGATTGGCTGGATTTGGCTGCTTCAAATACAAGGACTTCCGCCAGTTGATAGTATTCCACCACCATTGCTCGAGCATGCTGCGCGCGGCCGTGAGCAAGCGCGGGCTGGCCATACCACGGCTCTCTAGACACCTCGCATCGTCTTCCTCGGAATTCGCAGACCTCACGACGAGCCTCACGAACGTCAACGACGAAGAAGAAGCGTACACGCGTGCATCGACCAACATGATAAAGTTCTTGCCGCCCCTCCGCACGGGAAAGAAAGGCATTGATCTCGTGCGTCGAATTCAACCTATTCATGCGTACTTTGAGAAGCTTACTCGACGTTTGGTAGATTCACGACCCGCTGTTCAACAAAGGCACGGGATACAAGCACGTCGAGCGAGATCGGTTGGGTACGTTGTCGTCACTGCGGCGATCCCAACTTGATCGTGACAATGTGCAGGGCTTCGCGGCCTTGTCCCTCCTCGTCGCCTCAACATGAAGGCGCAATTGGAAAAACTGTACTCGCTGTACCAAGAAGAGGAAGACCCTCTGCGCAAGAACATCTTCTTGTCGGACCTGCAGAACCGCAACGAAACGCTCTTCTTTCGATTGCTCATCGATTACATTGAAGAAATGGGTATGTCTTGCTTGCGCATGTTCATCCCCTGGACTGTATGCTGAATGTAGCGCCCGTTGTGTACACCCCGACCGTGGGTCTCGTGTGCCAAAAGTTCGGCAGCATCTTCCGCCGATCTCGAGGCATGTACTTCAGTGCCGAGGACAAGTCTCAATTTGGCTCCATGGGTACAGCAGACTCTCCATGCATCGGATCGCCATCGACTCATGGAGGTGGTGAATGCAGTGTACAACTGGCCGTGTGACGACGTTCAAGTGATCGTGGTGACGGATGGCAGTCGCATCTTGGGTCTTGGTGATCTTGGTGTACGTGGTGCAGGATGTGTGCCGCTTACAACCTGACATGACGTCGATTTGGCAGGTCAACGGCATGGGAATCCCAATCGGGAAGCTCGCTCTATACACTGCAGCCGGGGGCATCGACCCTCGCAAGGTGCTGCCGGTCATGCTCGACCTCGGCACCAACAACGAAACGTACTTGAAGGATCCGTACTACCTCGGCATGCAGCACCGTCGCCTGGAAGGTACGTCGTGTTGTGGGCGATCCATTTGAATTTGCGTGGCACGTAGGGGAAGCCTTCTGGAGTGTCGTGGACGAGTTTATGCGAGCAGTGCGCTTCAGGTGGCCAAAGGCCCTCGTGCAGTTTGAAGATTTTTCCAGGTGCGTCAACGTCACGGCAAGCATGGCGTTGGTGACACACGTGCCTAGTGACCATGCCGCAGATGTGCTGCACGCGTACCGCCTGAAACAACTCTGCTTCAACGACGATATCCAAGGGACTGGCGCGACCGTGTTGGCGGGCGCCTTGTCGGCTTGCCTGCGGGTGAACATTCCGCTAAAACATCAGCGCATTCTCGTGCTGGGGGCGGGCAGTGCCGGTCTCGGTGTGTCGACGACGTTGCTTCAAGTAGGCGCTTCGTTGGCGTGATATCTGGTCGATGCGTCCGTGTCGAAACTAACGGGCCGTAGGGGATGCTGCAAGAAGGAGCCAAGCTCGACGATGCCCGCAAGCAATTTTACGTGTTCGATCAGTTTGGCCTCCTCGGCGACACCCGGCGAGACATGACGTCGGGCCAGCAATTCTTTGCTCGCAACGACGTGCCCGACAAGACATCGCTTTTGGACGTGATAAAGAAAGTGAAGCCCACGATGATCCTGGGTCTCAGCGCCGCCCGCGGCGCCTTCACAGAGGTGAGTTCCGTCGTGTTCCCAGTCGACCACTGGTCTATATTTGTGAGCGATGGATCTTTGGCGGGGTGATGCACTCTGCCCAGAGCTGCTGTGTCTCTTGGCCGCACGATTTCGCTTGGATCGTGCCAACGCGGCGGACTGAATCGCTATTGCAGGAATGCGTGCGTGAAATGGCAAAGCACGTGGACATGCCCATCGTGTTTCCGCTGTCCAACCCGACGTCTGTGGCCGAGTGCACGGCGCAGCAAGCGTACGAATGGACCAACGGCCGCGTGGTCTTTGCAAGCGGTACGAACCCATGAATGGTTTGAGTTGCATGCATGGGGAGTGTTGGGACCTCCTCGTTCGCATTTTCGGACGACCGTGTGTCGGCGCTGACGAGCATGGGTCTATAGGCTCGCCGTTTGCGCCGGTGCAATTCAACGGTCACGTGTACAACGTGAGCCAGTGCAACAACATGTTCATCTTCCCTGGCGTGGGCCTCGGCGCGGTCGTGTGCGGTGCGACCCGCGTGACCGATCGCATGTTGTATGTCGCAGCGCAAGCGTTGGCAACGTGCATGTCCCCTGAAGAGATCGCCGCGGGCCAAGTGTTTCCCAGTGTCAAGCAAATTCGAAAAGTGTCGCTCAAGGTAACGAGTGGCTCGCCGCATGGCCAGAGGATGGCTGAGCGTTCGTTGTGTAGGTCGCAACGGCGGTGGTGCAGTGTGCCGTCGACGATGGGTTGGCATCGACGCCGCCCATTCTTCGCAAGGGCGCGAATCTCGAAGAATACGTGGCGTCCAAGATGTACTTGCCAATCTACCGCGCCCTCGTCGAATAGTTTGTCGATACACCGTAACCCACCCCGAGAACAACTCAAATGGTGACGTCTATTGTTTGGTTCCAGCTGCCGGCAAGGTCATCGTGCGAACAGAGCGCCACCGATTCGCCTGTCACCTTGCCCGTGCATGCACGACAGGACATGGAGCTTGTTCATTAGCAGGATGCAGCACGGTTGTTTCATGGCAGCCGACGGTGATCGTGGTATGTCGTCGTCCTCACGTAGGAGTCCCTCAAAGTCGCATCGGAAACGCCGTGTTCTTTCTGTACTTACACGATCGAGCAAGCTCAGGTGTCTTGAAGGGAGGCCACATGCTGCAATCGCTGGGACGGACGTGCCGCGTCCCGTCGGGCACGGTTGCTTTGTCGTTTCCACGGCACGGCCAGCGAACGCATATTCGTGATGCTTTATGAAAATGGACCAATCACTGGCTACAACACCATTACTTTCTTGCGATATAAAATATTGCATTTTGTTATATGAATATCAAGTTTTATTTGATCCTGATTTATTTTATTTGTTGTTTATGCTTTTGCAGAGTGGGGCATTTTCTTGTGATGAAGGATGCATCGTTGCATGATGGATCATTTTCGGATTTCGTCGAGAGAGCATAGGGGGAGGCATGTTGAACGACACGGGCGCCAAGGTTGCCGTCGCGTTGGCTTTGTCTGCGTTAGTGTACTATGTCGGCTCCAAGAAGTCCAAGACGATTTCTCTGAAACCCTTGCGCAAGGCGAGCGTGGCGCAAGGGCAGGAAAGTGGATTTGGACCTAAGGATTCGGTCACTGTACGTGTGCCGGCAACGACGGCAAACATGGGACCGGGCTTCGATTGTATCGGCATGGCTGTGGATATCTGGAACGAGCTGACCGTCGAACGAGCGGACGCGTTCTCGTTGACCAACGAAGGTGAAGGTAGCGATGTGCTACCCACGGACGAAACCAACTTGGTTGTCGTGGGCCTCAAAGCTGCGTTCAGTGCTGCGGGCCAGGTACGTACCTCGACTGACTCTACCTTCATATTCACGTTTGGTGCAGGACATGCCGTTGTTGCGCATCCATTGCCGAAACCGTATTCCGTTTGCGCGCGGGTTGGGCAGTAGTTCCGCCGGGATCGTGGCAGGGATCATTGCCGGTCTTGTGATTGCAGGACACGAGCTATCCGTTCGCGGCAAGGAGGAACTCTTGCAGCTGGTACACAAGCAGCAGCCATCGCCGTTCATCTCCGTTTCTTCCTTGCTTTCCAGGCGGCCAACATCGAAGGACACCCAGACAACGTGGCCCCGTGCATTTACGGCGGTCTGCAACTCGTACTGTCGAACCCACGGCAACCAGTCGAATTCACGCTGCACGATGGATGGTCCGTAGGGCATCTTCACAGACGACCGATGGTACTCTTCCCGTGTTCAGTTCCCGTCCACGATGCAATGCGTGCTGTTTATCCCGGAAACCACTGGCAAAACCAGCGTTGCGCGGTCGATTTTGCCAAAGAAGGTACCTGCCGGCCACGTTTGATGTTGGAATCTGCTGCAACTCGCCGGTGTGGGTCAATATCGTGACGACGCTCTCGTAGATCGACCGCGCCGACGCCGTCTTCAACATTGGCCGTTCGGCACTTCTTGTCAACGCGCTGCGAAACGGCAACTTCAAGGAGCTTCGCCACGCGACGCAGGACAAGCTGCATCAGCCGCAACGAGGCGCTGAACAGTACCCACACCTCTTCCCCCTCGTCGACGCGGCGTTGGAAGCCGGGGCGCACGCGTGCTTCCTCAGTGGCGCTGGGCCGACTGTCCTGGCCATTTGCTCGGGCAAATCGGGTGACATATTCACCCAAGTTGCGGCCGAGCGCGATGAAACCAAGGTACACCCCCGACAAGGGTGATGCCGCTGACGGAGAGGGTCTGCGTAGGTCGCCGATGCGATGCGCGAAGCCGCGGCGAAAGTTGGGGTCCATGGGTGCGTGTTCATCACAAACCCCGAGCACCGCGGAGCTCACATTGTCCGCGTGTCGCCCAAGATCTCCGACCACCTCGTCGCGCGCTACGAAGGCGACATCACCGACCTCTAGAGCACCATGGAAGGACTTCCACACATGCAGAGCGCTGCTTCGTCGCGAGCCTTGCATGAGCCACCTCTCGAGCACAGCCAGAGTAACGCGGAACTCCTGCACTCGCTGGCAGCCACATCAGATGCTGCTCACTCGTAGCTCGACGAAAATGATTCATTTATTCACTAAAATGGTTCATCTATCCATGGTACGATGTCTTTCACGATACAGCCCAACTGAAAACATTGCAAAGTTGGTTGCCACTCACAAGGCCATGGGCGAGAGACAACGTTGTCAAACCAAACTGCCAAGATTCATGAGCCACGCGCATGCTCCAAAGATCGCGGGCCACGGGCAACAGACGTCGACCATTGCCTTGTTCATGAAAACAACCATTCATTTATGAAATTGTCATTAATATTTTCGACTAAACTACGAGCAACATGCATGAACAAATTTCAAGAACTTTTCGAAGCGTTGCAACCGAAATCGCAGTGCCATCCACTCCATGCTCCCACTGCACAGCCCGTGAGCCCCACGAGGCACTACCGGTGTTTATCTAGTTTATTACCACTGAGTGTGCGACCACCGATGCGAAGCCGCCAAAACATGCAGGCGCCCCCGCCGCAAACTTTCCAAACAGAAGAATTTAGTACATTGATGTTAATTGCAAAACATGTGCATTTTCGCCATAAAACCATATACTTCCTCTATTCCAAAAAGGTGGAGACATGTTACTCCAAAAACCCTTTCTCGGGCGAAAATAATCGAAATAGCCTCAAAATTGACCCGAATGTAGCCAATTGCATGACGAACATCGTAGTATTTATAGATTTTTTATTACTTCTTGGCGCTTCAAAACCAATCGTCAAAATTCGGTGACACGTATAGCTAATCGAAAAATACCCGTAATTTTGTCATTTCGAGTCGTCTTGAAGCGTAGATATGGTTTGCACCCCTCAGAACCCCGAAAAAATTTCTGGAAGCAAAGTTACGCAAATTTCACCAAGTACGACATACCCAACGACGACCGGGTCCGTTTGTACCATGAACTTTTGGAGCTGAAAGTGGGTGGCCGCATGCCGCATGGCAAGGCCAAGGAATTGCTGCAGAAGTACGGTATATCTCGGCAAACCTTGTCGAAGATTTGACGTCGCGGGCAAGTCTCAAAGGCTCTCTCTGGTCTGGCTAACGTTGCCAAGAGGAAGCAAGGTGGTTGTGGAAGACGCCCTACTCGGTCCTTGGACGAGCTTGAGTCTGCCAACAAGACTGTATCTCCACATCTCCGCTTGACTCTGCGGTCTTTGTCAGCTTCAAGTGGCATCCCGACGACTACGCTGTGGCGTCTATTGAAATCAACCAAGTTGAAGAGAAAGACAAGCCGCATCAAACCGAAGCTTACCGATCAACACAAGGCTGCCCGTGCCGTCTTTGCCCGCTCCTTCCTTCGAGCGTCACGAAACAATGTGCACTGGCATGACATGCTTGACCGGGTCCATATAGACGAGAAGTGGTTCTACGTGACTTTGATCAATCGCCGATATTATCTGTGGCACGATGAGGAAGTACCGGTGCGCAAGTGCTCCTCCAAGCGGAACATTGTGAAAGTCATGTTTTTGACGGCGGTGGCCCGTCCGCGTTATGGCAATGCAACAAAGACAACATGGGACGGAAAAATTGGAATGTGGCCATTCGTGACCCAAGCATTCGTGACCCAAGCACCAGCTCAGCGTACCAGCAAGCATCGTGCACGTGGCACTATCGTGACGACCCCAATGACCGTGACCAAGGATGTTTACCGAGACTTCCTGCTGCAGTATGTCATTCCCAGCATCAAGCGTCTTTGGCCCGGCCGTCCTGACAAGCCCATATTTGTCCAACAGGACAATGCTCGCCCTCATGTTGGTGTGGACGACCCTGCTGTGTGTGCTGCCGGTTGTTCCGATGGGTGGCAGATTCAACTTGTTGCGCAGCCTGCCATGAGCC